GGTCTGACCTCCAGACTCTTAGATCCCACTGCTTAAGGTTCATGAGCACCTGGATGCCTGAAACACATCTCAAGAAACTTAACATTCTAAATTTTCTTCTCCAGTCAACTCTTTCCCTTCATGATAACCCCATATTTCCAGTTACCATGGCAAAAAGGGAATATTCTTTGTCTCCTTTCCTTTTTTACTCCATGCCTACTAGTAAATCCTTTAGTACAACCCAGTATTATGGCCTCTACCATGCTGCCCCATGCCACTGACCTCTCTCCTTGAACACTGTCATATGCTAGTCTTGTTCTGTCTTTACTGTCTTCCATCAGCTCTCAACACCATTGGCAGACTGTGTTTTTTTAAAACGGCAAATCACTTCCCTCCCCTGCTCAAAAACCTCTAATCTCTCCCCATCTCAACTCAGTGCTCCTGCTGTCTTTGCTTACACCATTTCAGACACTTTGGCCTGTATTCCTCAACATGTTAGGTTCTCACCCTCAGGGCCTTGGCCTTGGCCTTGGCAGTCATGCATCTGAAACACTCTTCTCACATGCTCATCTCCTGAGCCTTTGCTGAGTGACACCTCAGTGAAGCCCCCACCTTGTCCATACCCATTTGCTATTCTCTTTTCCCCTCAGTATATATCAATTTCTACTGCACTGTAAACATTTAGAAATTGTTTTTGTTTACTCTCTCTTCTTTAAATAGAATGGAGGTTCCAGAGGCAAGACTTACTGGTTATACCCTCAGTGGTTGGGACAGTGCCAAGTACATATTAGGACCTCAACTACACATCACAAGTTTTGTCCTATAATGCTTTCATTGTAGCATTCTAAACACCTTATTCTTCCAATGATTTGATTTTTACAAATTTTTAAAAAAGTTTGCATAGATATAAAAGAATATTTAAAAAACTTGTAAGGCCTCAGGAATAATATCACAGATACCAGTATTCTGACTACCCTGAGAAAATTACATCTCTGAAGCCCTTATGAGTACTGTCCTTCAGAATAACTCACTGTCCTTAATTTTGTATTTATCATTCCCTTGAATTTTTTCTCCTTAAACAACATGCTCATTTGTGCTTGGTTTTGATTCCATGTTGTACAATACTGCAACTGAATAATTTTCACTGCTGTATGGTATTCCACTAAATGACTTTACCATAATGCATTAATTCATTCTACTGTTGACAAACATTGTGTCCTGTGCTTTTGCTATTACAAACAGTATAATAAAGTTTTTGCAGATTACCTTCTGATACACTAGTATGACAATTTCTGAAGAAGACACATGTTGGAATAGAATTGCTGAGTCACAGGGCACACATATCTTCCCAACTTGATCTTTATAAGAGTGTGCCAAGTTACTTTCCAATCCTGGCTATACCAATTCACACCTCCATATGAGTCTGTTATTTGTGCATCCTTATATTCTCTGATTTAAAAAAAATATATATGGTGGCATGAAATTCTACCTGATTTCCCTTATTTTTATCATTATTATTATTATTTCTTTTATTATTTTTTTGGTTGGGCTATCATAACTCTTTATGGTCTGGATATTAATATTTTATCCATGATATATACTGAAAATACTTTTCTATTGTCTCTTCACTTTCCTTAAGGACTGTTTTAATGAAATCAATAATTTCCTCTGCGATTTCCAAGTCATAAAGAAAATACCTTACCTATCTTCCCAACACTTCCAGTTTTGCCTTTAACATTCAAGTCTATTATCCCCATGGAACTATGTGAGGAAGAGAGTAATTCCTTATTTTCATATGGACAACAAGCATGCCCATATTTCTTGGGAAGGCCTTCTGTTCCTCACTCTCAACACCAGCACTGCATTCTATCAAAGTTCTACAAGAGGCCAGCGCCGCGGCTCAATAGGCTAATCCTCCGCCTAGCAGCGCCGGCACACCGGGTTCTAGTCCCAGTCGGGGCACCGGATTCTGTCACGGTTGCCCCTCTTCCAGGCCAGCTCTCTGCTGTGGGCCAGAAGTTCAGTGGAGGATGGCCCAAGTGCTTGGGCCCTGCACCCGCATGGGAGACCAGGAGAAGCACCTGGCTCCTGGCTTCGGATCAGCGCAGTGCGCCAGCTGCAGCGCGCCAGCCGCGGCGGCCATTGGAGGGTGAACCACCGGCAGAAAGGAAGACCTTTCTCTCTGTCTCTCTCTCTCACTGTCCACTCTGCCTGAAAAAAAAAAAAAAAAAAAAGTTCTACAAACACGTGGGTCTTCTTGTAAGCTCTCTGTTTCACTGGTCTGTTGGCTTACCTTTGTGCTAAAATCATGCCATCCTAATGGCAAGTTCCCTCTTTGCTGTTGGTTAGGAGTGTTTCTGCTCTTCCTAGCCCTTTGTTCTTGTACATAAAATTTGGAAGCAATGTTTCAAATTAGATAAAAACTTGGACTTTTAATGACCATTGCCCTGAATATATAGATCAGCTGGAGGAAAAAGAAAAATGTAAAATATTGAGTTTTCCTAGTCACAAACATGACATCTGTCAATTTTAAAACTTCCTTTTAAGGGCCCAATAAAGTTTCATTTTTTTTATATTACAAAGGGTTTGTATACCCTTTATTAATATTTAGATAATTTCTATTTTTGATATTCTTATTGATTGTAGGTTTTTTTAAAAAAAAATCTGCTCAGTTATTTATTTGGAAGGTAGAGTGAGAGAGAGAAGGGGAGAGACAGAGATCTTTCATTTACTGGTTTACCCCCCAAATGCTTGCAATGGCCAGGGCTGGGCCAGGCCAAAGACAAGAACAAGGAACTCTATCTAGGTCTTCCATATGGGTGGCAGGACCCAAGTACTTTGGACCATCATCCAACGCTTCCCAGAAGCATTAGTAGAATCCGAATCAGAATAAGTGGTACTAGATCCCAGGTACTCAGATATGGGTTTGGTATGATAGAAGTAGCAGCTCCAACCACTGTTCAACAAGGTCTCTGATAGAAGCTTTTTGAAAATTACACTTTAACTGTTTGGTGCTAAAGTATAGAAATGCAGTTGATTTGTATACTGAACTTTGATAAACTTCAAGATTTATATATTTATTCATTTGAAGGGCAGAGCAACAGAGAGGGAACAAGAGAGATCTTCCATCTGCTGGTTCACTCCCTGAATGACCATGACGGCTAGGTCTGGGCCAGACTGTAGGCAGGAGTGAGGAATTTCATTCTGGTCTCCCACATGGATCACAGGGGCCCAAGTACTTGGGCCATTTTCTGCTGCCTTCCCAGGCACATTAGCAGGAAGCTGGAACAGTATCAGAGCAGCCAGAACTCAAACCAGAGCTCTGATATGGGATGCCAGGGTTCCCTAAATTCTGTTATTGTTGCGCATTTTACCAGCTCTTTAATCCATGAATCAATTCATTTCTAAACATGTATTTGTTAGCTGTTACTCTGTTAAGCCTTTGGAATTTATGTTTCAAAAATGTTGCTTTTGCAATGACTGACGTTAGAATTTTTGAGACTTTTCCTGTGACCTAATGTGTTGTCAATTTTTAGAACTTCTGCATGTGTCCTAGAAATAAAGGCGTATTCTCTGTGGGACCCACAGTTACACACATATATATTCAATCAAGCTTACATTAACATTTCCAAAAGAAGTCATGACTAATTTCATTTACTGAGCATAATTATGGTTTATTTAACCTTCGACTTAGTACAGAATTGAGAATCTTTCAGTTGGATAAATCTCCAATAATCCTAGAAGACATTATTATCCCCTTTTTGTCAAAGCAAAACTTCACGCTCAAAAGATAGCTTGTTCAAATTCCACAGCAGGTGAACAGTTGGAATGTGAACTTTGATCTGCAGTGTTTACAATTCAGGTCTTCTATCACAGAAAGCTCAGCTTTCCTGTATTCCACCTTTTTTCTCATTCCTCCATATCTACCGGGATACTGGGTCTTTTGAATTTTACACCCCAAAACATTCTATTAGCCATCTCCTTTAACTACCAGCTTCACTGAAACCAGCAAAAAATATAAACGTTAGTGATAAAAATGCCACTAGTATACAGTGTTAACGCAAGGTGCATGACCTTTCACCCACAGGACTTCACTTCCTGCCTAAACAGAAGACAGATCTTACAAATTAGCAAATTTGTTCTTAGAATTTATATAATATATTCACACTCCCAGATCGTAAGCTTCAGTTCCAGTTTCCTGCAAGTTAGGACTCTAAAGCCCTGGGTTTAAAGAAAATAGTGCTTTTAGAGTTAAGTTTTAAAATGTCATTATTCAGTCCAAAAGATCAGACTGAAGCCAGGCTCCAAGTGGGGAACAGCAGTCCCAGGACCACCTCATCCAACTCAACTAGCAAACGGGACAGCTGGAACCCATGGCTTCAGGATCCGGGAATCAGAGCAGCACACAGGATCAGAGCGGGCATCCACAGCCCAGAGCTGCCAGCCTCCGCCGCCTCACGGAGCCCTCCACGCCCGGCGTCCCGGCCTTCAGCAGGCTCCCTTCGCACACTGGGACGCCGGCTGTCCCCGCCACGCAGCGCGAAAGGCAAGGTCCTGAGCGGGGAACCAGGAGCCCACCCAGGACCCGAGGAGAGAGCAGGGAGCACCGATTCATTTCCGCTGGAGCCCACGGCCGGCGGATACCTGTACTGTGTGACGGTCAGCGGGGCCGCGGGCTCGGCCCCGAAGCCAGGCAGGTGCCGGTTAAGGTAGGTCTCCAGGGACTGGAGGTCGAACCGGTGCTGAGGCAGCACCTCGACCGTATCGGGCTCATAGGCGGCTCCAGCCTCCATGACTGCTCGTCGCCAGCGCAGTGTACTCTGAGGGACTCGGAACCCTAGGTCTTGAGAGAGCGGCCGAGTCCCCGTGGGCGGAGCTACAGCCGTGATCGGAGGCGGGGCCTGGCTCAGCCTATAACACGCACCCACGACCCCGTTGCCAGGCAACGGGGGGAGCTTGGGCTCAGGTCTGGAAGTGTGGAAAACGCACCGTGTATATTCGAATTAAAATTTTCCAGACGAGTTAGCGATCTCTGTTTTAAAGAAACCAGAGCTCCTGTAGTCGCTACGGGCAACACTGCAGAGGTGTCTCCCACTCGCACCGGCAGGCGGAAGACCCACGGGGTCCGTCTCAGAAAAGGGCCCGGCAGGGCCTCGAGCCCAGGAATAACAGATCCTGGCGTTTTCGCGGCCTCCAGCTCAGCGCCCAGTCGCAGGCTGCTGGCCCAGGGCACGGATAACAGGGGCCTGCTGCGGCCTGGCTGGGCAGAGCCAGCGACGACGGAGGCCGGCTCCCGCCGCGGCGAGTGAGGGCCGCGACGCCCCGGAAGCGTGCGGTGGCGGCTGGACGACGTGGCGGGCCGTGAGGCGCCGGGCGCTTCCGCGGGCCTGCGCGAGCTGGGCGGCGGCCGGCTGCGTGGTCGCGTGCGGCTCCAGCCATGGCCGAGTCTGTGGAGCGGCTGCAGCAGCGGGTGCAGGAGCTGGAGCGCGAACTGGCCCAGGAGAGAAGCCGGCGCGTCCTTGGGGGCGGCGACGGGGCGGGCGGTCGGGCCCGGATCGAGAAGATGAGTCCCGAAGTGGTAGATTCCAATCCCTACAGGTGAGCTGCGCCGGGAGAGCGGCCCAGAACCCCTGTGGTCCGGAGGGCTTGTCCCCATCCCGCCTCGAGGGGGCTCCCGCCGCTCTTCTCTTGGTCGGGAGTCCTCGTCGCAGACGGGACGGACTGCTCAGAAGATGCCCTTTGTCTTCTCCGAAAAGCCCGAGTGACTCAGCCGTCCCGGGGCCTCTGAGGGCCGTTGTCCAGTTCCCCATAGCCCTCTGGCCTGTTCCTTCCGCGGGAGACATGAACTGTAACACCTGCTACGTGTCACCCTCGAGTTTCCTAAAGGTTTATCAACGCATGTTAAACGGGGCGCGGTTAGCCCTAATCCCAGATGTTAGCGTGCTCCTTGAGGGCCCAGACGGTGCGACCTCACCAGGCCCGCCGGCCCCTCTCCTTGCTGCTTTCCTGAAAGGCTTCTCGATTCAGCAGGTGGAATACAGTGCAGTGGTTGAGGGAAGGACTTTGCGGACCGACTGCTCCCACTCAGATCCTGAGTACGTTTAAGCAGTTCTGAACCTCTCCAAGTATTTCGTACCTGCAAAATGGGGGTCACAGTAATAGCCACCTGTTAGAGCTGTGGGGGTCGAAAAAGGCAGTACATATGGAATGCCGTTTGTACATGGTGAGCCTTGTTAGACTATCGCCCAGTGCACCTGGCAGCAAGCAGTAGTTGAGCTCTCACTGTGTGCGAAGCACATTACAGGCATGTCTTACCACAACTCTGAGACTGCTACTATTGTACCCTCATTAAAATTTTATTTATTTGAAAGGCAGAGACACTGGGACAGAAAAAAGGAGCGATCTTCCCATCTTGCTGGTTCATTCCCCAGCTGCAATAGCCAGGGCTGAACCAGGCCAAAGTCTGGAGCCCAGAACTCAGTGTCGCACGTGGGTGACAAGGACCCAAGTATTTGAACCATCACCTGCTGCCTCCCAGGGTGCACATTAGCATAAGCTGAAATTGGAAGCAGAGCTGGGACTGGAACCCAGGCATACCTGTGTGGGATGCAGTCCTCCCAAGCCTCTTCTTAACTGCCCCATTACATAGGTGGGAGCTGTGTCAGATCAGAGATATAGAAGTAAGTAATAGGCCGGCGCCGTGGCTCAATAGGCTAATCCTCCGCCTTGCAGCGCCGGCACACCGGGTTCTAGTCCCGGTCGGGGCGCCGGATTCTGTCCCGGTTGCCCCTCTTCCAGGCCAGCTCTCTGCTGTGGCCCGGGAGGGCAGTGGAGGATGGCCCAGGTGCTTGGGCCCTGCACCCCATGGGAGACCAGGAAAAGCACCTGGCTCCTGGCTTCGGATCAGCGCAATGCAGGCCTCAGCGCGCCGGCCACGGCGGCCATTGGAGGGTGAACCAATGGCAAAGGAAGACCTTTCTCTTGTCTCTCTCTGCCTGTCAAAAAAAACAAAAAAAAAAATAGGAAAAGAAAAGAAAAAGGTTATAGGGGCTGGCGCATGGCTTACGTGGTTAATCCTCCCCCTGAGGCGCTGGCATCCCATATGGGCACCGGGTTCTAGTCCCAGTTGCTCCTCTTCCAGTCCAGCTCTTTGCTGTGGCCTGGGAGGGCAGTGGAGGATGACCCCAGTGCTTGGGCCCCTGCACCCTCATGGGAGACCAGGAGGAAGCACCCGGCTCCTGGCTTCGGATTGGCATAGCTCCAGCCATAGCGGCCATTTGGGAGGTGAACCAATGGAAGGAAGACCTTTCTCTCTGTCTATCTCTCTCTCACTGTCTAATTCTATCTGTCAAATAAATTTAAAAAAAGAAAAAGCTTTTAGTGATGACATACAAAGCCTCAGTGGAAGTGAGGAATTCACTCTTTTAACTGCAAAGCCAATTTGGAAATGAAATGAAAATTTTTAGAGGTTGAATAAGTGTGAACTGATAACTGTAATCAGAAGTGGTGGAAACTGTTCCATCTGGCATCTTTAAACATTTCTGTTTTACAAATGAAGACTGAAATTTTCCTTCCAAGAATGAAGACTAAAGGAATGAAAGGAATGTGGGTTATATATTTAAAGTTATATATCAGATATTATTTTAATCTGACAGTATATAATCACAAAACTTTTCAGAACTCAGTGGAAACACTTAATATTTTCTAACTAGTTTGCACTATTTGTCTTTACTAAAATTCCTGTCTAGGAGATGTCAGTTGACACCCCAGGCTGGTCTTTTTCCCTCCGGAGCTTAATAAGTGAATGAGATAGGTAAACATGTGGTTGCAAGTACAGGTATTAAGAATGACAAGGAAGGTACAAGGTGATCAAAAAATATAGGAAGTGAGTTCATGTGTGTTCAACACCATCTTTTTTTTTTTTAATTTATTTTATTTATTTGAAAGAGTTACAGAGAGAGGTAGAGACAGAGAGAGATGTCTTCCTCTGGTTCACTCCCTAGATGGCCGTAACAGCCGGAGCTGCACTGAGCTGAAGCCAAGAGCCAGGAGCTTCTTCCTGGTCTCCCACGTGGGTGCAGGGGCCTAAGGACTTGGGTCACCTTCTTCTGCTTTCCCAGGCCACAGCAGAGAGCTGGATTGGAGGAGGAGTAGCTGGGACTAGAACCAGTGCCCATATGGGATGCCAGCACTTCAGGCCAGGGCTTTAACCTGCTGCACCACAGTACCAGCCCCGCAACACCATCTTAATTGCATCAAGTGATAGAAAAAGCAATACAAGGGGACTTCAAAAGATTTGTGGAAAAGAAGTAAAAGATGTTTCCTTTGGTGCAAAAAGAAATTGCAAGTCATACATACAAGGGGTGTTGAAAAAGGTCCTGGAAAGTGTGTATTATGAAGAAACTATGCATGGATTTCAAACAAATTTGAACATAATAAATTCTAATTCCATTTTTCCATGAACTTATTGAAATGCCCTCATATAGAGCCTCTGAACTTCAAAAGCCTTTTAATTTGGGAGATCCATCTGGGATCCTGGCTGTGCAGGGGGAGGCTTAGCCTCCACAGCATTAAGTCTCAATCTTGGCTGCACATTAGAACGTACATGGGCCTTCAACAAAAAGGAAGTCATTTTTCCCCGGCTCCCCGTCGGAGTGTGCTTGAACATCAGTGTTTTCAAAGCTACCCAGGTAATTCTTTCTAATGAAGGCCTGCTGAAGGATTCCTGTCCTGTTAAGGATTCCTGTCCTGGTTAAGTTTCAGTGTTTCTATGATGATTACTGTTCACTAAAAGACTGTAAGCTTTAACACATTGTTTTCTTTGTTTTAAGCCGCCTGATGGCATTGAAACGAATGGGAATTGTGAGTGACTATGAGGTATGATAAACCTTTTTCAAGTTTTTAAAGATTATTTCAGTAAATGAGAATAATTTCTGGTGACCTGTTTGATGAGAAGTTATTAACAAACACATGAAATTCTGTTCCTTCACAGAAAATCCGGACCTTTGCTGTAGCAATAGTAGGTGTTGGTGGAGTCGGGAGTGTGACTGCAGAGATGCTGACAAGATGTGGCATTGGTAAGGTAAAACATTTCTCTTTGCCTATCACAAAAGGAACAAGTCACCCTGGAGTAAATCAGGTACAAATTAGGACCTTTTTTTTCCTCATTGCTACTGGTCTGTTAATTTATGCTGTATGTATTCATATTGTTGTTTCTACCATATCCCTACCCAAACAAATGCCAATATTAGTGTTGATTATATAACGACTATCTAATTGTGTTCAGGAACTTTTTTGTTTGGAGTAATATGAGCAATCTGGGCCTAACTGTTTTAGATTTAGAAACTTGGCCTTACAGTAGCAGACCGGACGATTGATGAAGTGTGTGAAAGACTGAAACATCTAACATTTTGTTGAAAATGTGCTTACACCAGACAGACTAGAAAGCAAGCATATTTTTCTTACTCTAAAATTTGAACTAGACAATGCTCTGGACTTCTTTTGAAGCTCAAACTTTTTTAAACTTTTTTCTAGAGTTGATTTGGTTTGTAGATAGGAAAAGTAGCTTTCTTAAACAGAATATAATCTAGTAATCTGAGATTTATGAAGCCAGGGTCTATGATGTTAGATCCATATGATAGATACACAGTGGTTGAAGCTTTCTACAACTATGTGCCCTTTGTTGTTTTGATAAAGCAAGCATTCTCCACAAAGTTTCAGTACATTGTTCCACTCCAAATTCTTAAAGTGGTTTCAAAATTGGCAGTCATTTATCAGTATAAAAAAGAAAACAAATGTTTATGAAAATTTTAGTATCTTTCAACAGGTTTTAAAAAAAATAGGCCAGAATTGTGTATAGGTGACTCACATGCCTGGGCCTGCCTGACACAGAATATTAGAGACCATGGGGACTAGTGGTTCACAAGTTTGTTTTCAGCCTCGCTTGTGGAGAGCTAGTAGGCATTGCCGGAACCTGCCCTGGTGGTTTGACACTACAGTGTGAGATACATCTTATTTTCATTTCTACAAGTTCCCAGGTGATCCTGTGATGTTAGCCTCTACACTTTGAGAACCTCTAGAACCTTGCACCTCCAAGTCTGGTGCCTGAAGTAGTAGCATCAGCAGCATCTGGGAGCCTGTGAGAAAAGAAGGCTCTCAGGCTGCACCCTAGACATTACAGAATCCAGTCCTGTGTTTTAGCAGGATCCCCAGGCAGGCAAGTACTCCTGTACCTCTAACGAGCTCCCAGTGATGCTGCTAGACCAGGCCTCTACTGATAACAGTAGTCATCAAATGTTGCTAGCACTAGAATCACCTGGGGAGTCTTAACAAATTCTGATGTCCAGATGGCTCCACATAAAGCATAAATCAGAATCTCTGAGGATGGGACTCGGCCATCTGTGTTTTTTAAAACTCCAAGTGATCTCAATGTGTAGTCAAGTTTGTAAACTAAGAACCATGCAGGTAAGTTTCAGGCACTCTTTATTCAATTTGTAAAACAGATAAATCTGAAGCTAAATCATGGGGTCCAGAGCTCTCATCTTAACCCTGAAGGTATCTGGAACCCTTTGAAAGTATCTGGGGTGTGGTCATTGGTGTGGCAGTTAAGTCTCCACTTGGGACGCCCACCTGTATCAGAGTGCCTGGATTCAATTCCCAGCTCCACTTCTGATTCTAGGGTGCTGCTAATATGTATCCTAGAAGTCAGCAGGTGATGGTCCAAATAAGAGATGTGGATTGAGTTCCAGGTCTCTGGCTTCACACTGTTGTCTGAATTCCCCAGTTGTTGTGGACATTTGGGGAGTGAACCAGAAGTGGAAGAGATTCACCCATGATTCAACACCATCCATTCTCAAGTTCGGTATTTCTTACATCTTATTCGTGAACAAGCTATGAAACTCAAATTTTGCTTGGCCTGACCTAATTAAATATTTGTTGAATAAACTTAAACCATGTTTTGGAGTAGAGTTAGAAAATGATCATAGATGGTATAAGTGAGGTCTTTATTAACCCTAAGTGTTAAGGGTTATCTGATGTTGTTATGGTCTGGCTTAAGTTTTTTGTTTTTTAGTTTCTAGATTGAGAAGAAAATCCAATTTTTGTTTTTATTTTTAAAATTAGCTTGCTGAGAATTGCATTACAAGTTCACTGAATATTAAATCAGGAACCTTGGAAATCCCTAGTTTTAACATGGTCTTCCTGATAAGAAATGTGATCTTACTGTTTAAAATTATTTGGTAATTTTATTTGGAATAATGTTTTAGCCAGGGCATTGTGTCATGTAGTGCCATACTCACAGAAGGAGTCAGGTTATACTACAATTTTAAGTTTACAGCATTTGTCTGTATCTTATATAAAGATTCATTCATCCAACAAATTCTTAGCTTTTAACAACAGATTGGTATGGGTAGGATTTGGGCACAAATTCTAGAAACCGATGGAACAGAACGTTAAGTTCTCAGTGAGTCATGTTAGAGGCAGCACAGCATTTTTTAGAGTGCAGATGCTGGACTGAGAATGCCTGAATGTGGTGCTGTTCTCACTTGATAGTAGCTGAGTGGCCATCAGGCACGTGCCCTAGTTGCCTCATCTTCAAAATGAGGATAATAAATAATAATACTGTGCATTTACCTCACGTGTGCATTACGTGAACCCAGTTGTTCCAGCAGATGTGTAAAGTCCACTGGGTTAGTCTTTGATATTTTTGGTTTTATGCTATGGTTTTCATTGAAATACCACTATTTTCATTTTAGTTGCTACTCTTTGACTATGACAAGGTGGAACTGGCCAATATGAATAGACTTTTCTTCCAGCCTCATCAAGCAGGATTAAGTAAAGTTCAAGCAGCAGAACATACTTTGAGGTAAATGGAATAACAAAGATCATATTCAGTGGATTCTTATTTTGTGTACTTGGTATGAATTAACCTAATATACAATGGGCCTGAATTTTTTTATATAAAAATGGAGATACCATTTATACAGAGAATTCTCTTACTTTTTGCACATTGGTTGACAAGCTCTTTTTTTTTTTTTTTAAGATTTATTTATTTATTCGAAAGAGTTCGAGAGGAGGAGAGGTAGATCTTTCATCTGCTGGTTCAATCCCCAAATGGCTGCAATGGCCCAGGATGAGCCAGGCTGAAGCCAGGAGCTATCCATCTGGGTCTCCAACATGGGTGCAGGTGCACAAGCACTTGGGCCATCTTCCACTGCTTTCCCAGGCGTGTTAGCAGGAAGCTGGAATGGAAGTGGAACACCCAGGACTCAAACCAGCACCCGTATGGGATGCTTGTGTCACAGGCAACACTTTATTCACTACGCTGCATTGCCAGCCTCTGACAAAAGTTTTCCTTATGAAGCTAGATGCTAGATGCTTTAGTCTTTGAGGGCCATAGGGTTTCTGTTGCAAGTGTTCAGCATGGAGCTGTAATGTGATTGTAGCCATAGATAACACAAAAATGAATGAGCATGTCTGTGCCCCAATAGAATTTTATTTTTAGATTCCAAAATTTAAATTTCATCTAATTTTTATATATGATGAAATAGTTTCTCTTTTGATTTTACTCTCAACCTTTTAAAAATGTAAAAGCCATTCTTAGCATGAAAATTGCACAAAAACAGGCACTAGGCCAAATTTGGCCCACAGGCAAGCTTGTCAATCCCTGCTCTAGGAACTTTCTCTGTGGCCCAAACACACTTCTGCTGAATTGAATAAGGAACAAAGAAGTTCTTTTGCCAGAAAGAGTCAGAGCTACCTGAAGTGGTGCAGGTTTAATTCCCTGCATGTAAATTGATTGACCTGAGTTAGCATGGGAAACTTTTTTTTTTTTTTTTTTTAAGATTTATTTATTTGGAAGTCAGAGGTACAGAGAGAGAGAGGGGAAGAGACAGACACGTCTTCCATCTACTGTTTTACTCCTGACACAGCTGCAATGGCCAGGGCTGGGCCAGGCTGAAGCCAGGATCCTGGAGCTTTTTCCAGGTCTCCCACATGGCTGCAGGGTCCCAAGCACTTGGGCCAGCTTCTGCTTTCCCTAGCACATTAGCAGAGAGCTGGATCATAAGCAGAGCAGCCAGGACTCAAACCAGTGTCCATGTGGGATGCTGGCACTGCAGATGGCAGCTTAAGCTGCTGCACCACAGCACTTACCTTTTTATACCTTTTTTTTTTTTTAAGATTTTATTTATTTATTTGAAAAAGTTACAGAGAGAGAGAGAGAGAGAGACAGATAAAGATCTTCCATCCACTGGTTCATTTCCCAAATGGCCGCAACGGCCCAGGGCTGGGTCAGACTGGAGCCAAAAGCCTCCTTTTCATCTCCGATATGGGTGCAGGAACCCAAGGACTTAGCTGTCTTCTTCTGCCTTCCCAGGTGCATTAGCAGGGAGCTGGATCAGAAGTGGAGCATCCAGGACTTGAACGGGTGCCCATATGGGATGCTGGCATTGCAGGGGTGGGAAGTTTTTATAAAATTCTTTCAACAATCTCCTCATTTTTGAACCTAGTCCTTAAGGACAAGAGGCAGAAAGAGGACTTTAAATTTTCTTTGAATCACTTGAATTCCACTTCTTTAATGTATGTTCATTGTTCTTTAATTCTTTCAATCCTTTTTTCCATTTTTTTTTCTTATTATTTCTGCTGATAGTCTGTAATCATTCCCTTTTTCCCCCTTAGGAACATTAATCCTGATGTTCTTTTTGAAGTACACAACTACAATATAACCACAGTGGAAAACTTTCAACATTTCATGGATAGAATAAGGTAAAGTTTTTATTTATAGATATTTTGCACAATATCCAGGTCAGCTAAGCAAGCACTACTAGAAAATCTATTATTAGAAATCTTAATTCAGTGAATTGCCAGATTGATATATACCTTCCACAAGGCGGAGGATTAGCCTAGTGAGCCGCGGCGCCAGCCCTTATTTTGTTTTCAAAGATTTTATTTATTTATTTGAAAGGTAGAGTTACAAACAGAGAGGGAGAAAGGTTCACTCCCCAAATGTCCGCAATGGCCAGAGCTGCGCCGATCCAAAGCCAGGATCCAAGAGCTTCTTCTGGGTCCCCCATACAAGGTGCAGGGCCCAAGCACCTGGGCCATCTTCTGCTTTTCCAGGCCATCAGCAGAGAGCTGGATCAGAAAAGAAGCAGCCAGGACTAGAACCAGTGCCTATATGGGTTGCTGGCACTGCCGGCAGAGGATTAACCTACTACTTTGCCACAGTGCCAGCCCCTACCTTCCTGTTTTTAAAAATAGTATTCTTTGTATAATTTTTATGTATTAGGAGCTAAGTAAAAGGTGAACAGTTGACATAGCAGTTAAGATGCTGTTCTAGATCATTTCACATCAGAGTGCTTGGGTTCAATTCCTGCCTCTACTCTGATTCTAGCTTTCTGCCTGTGCAAACCCTAGAAGGCAGTAGTGATGACTCAAATAGTTGAGTTCCCTTCCTGCTCCTGGCTTTGGCCCTCTGACCATTGTGGGCAGCTGGGGAGTGAACCAGTGGGTGGGAGCTCTGTCTACCCCTCTCTGCCACTCTACAACAGCAACAGAAGTATATATTGTCCAAGACAGACAACCTAAAAAAGTTAAAAATGAGGGGAAAATCCTTGAAAATTCAGTGATGTAATGAGGAATTCCATGTTCTAGACTATATTTCTATGTGAAAACGGTATTCTTCAGACTGTCAGAACACTACTGAAATAATGAATTGCATTCAGTTAGCTTTTATTACATTTCTGTTTGTAGGAAAGCATGACTTAAGTCTGTGAAAGCTGATGAGGGAAAGGTAACTGTTGTGAACAGACTGTACTCCTTCCCCCTTGCACTGCCTGGACAAGTGCTGCCCCAGGACCACTGATAGTCACTCATACACAGTGTCTGCAAGGTCTTTACTGTTAAGTGCTGTTATAATTACATTCTGACATTTAATGAGGAAAGAAATAAAGTCTAATTACAATGTATTTTCTGTCTTTTTTTTTTTTTTTAAACATATTTCCTTTCTTTGACCAGTAATGGCGGATTAGAAGAAGGAAAACCTGTTGATCTAGTTCTTAGCTGTGTGGACAATTTTGAAGCTCGAATGACAATAAATACAGTGAGTATTCCTGTTGTGTAAGGCATTATACTCATGGATTTATCTATTATATTGCTATCAATATGATATTCTAAAAGCCCCATTCTAAAAAATACTTCTGAATTTAAACTCTTTCATGTTCTCTTAACCCACATTTAAAATTTAGTCTATGGGGTTGGTGTTATGGTGTAGCAAGTAAAGCCACCGCCTGTGATGCCGGCATCACTTAAGGTTGCTGATTCAAGTCCTGGCTGCTCCACCTCTGATCCAGCTCCCTACTAATGGCCCAGGAAAAGCAGCAGAACATGGCCCAAGTGCTTGAGCCCCTGCTGCCCACGTGGGAGACCCAGAAGAAGCTCCTGGCTCTTGGCTTTGGCAAGGGTTCAGCCCTGGGTGTTGTGGCTGTCTAGGGAGTGAACCAGTAGATAGAAGATCTGTCCCTTCCTCTTTGTGTAACTCTTTCAAAATAAATAAATAAATCTTTAAATAAAATAAAATAAAATTTATTCTAATAATTGTGGACTGTCTAGCCTTGCTAGACATTACATACATTACAGTATCCTACTTTCTTTTTACCAGTATAGAAAACCATAAGCCAGCAAATCCTTATAATGTATTGTTTTTAAAGTAAATTAATATTTTATAGCACTTATTCTTGGTTAGCGTTGCTTTTAACTTTTGTTGCTTTATCTTCTAAATGTCTAAATGTATGTAAATTGCTTAAAGATGGTTTCTCAAAAATAAATGTTTTCTTTTGAATATTTGTTTTAAACTTTCTTGGCATATTGTTGTCTCTCAGATATTTTTTGAAGTGAATTTTTAAATTCATCTGACAAGAAATCCAATAAGCTATGATTTAGTTTAATAAATACTGTCTTGAATAGTCAGTTTATTTTTTCTTCTGTTTTTTAAAGACTTATTTATTAGAAATGCAGTTACAGAGAAAGAAGGTCAAAGAGAGAGAGAGATCCTCTATCTGCTAGTTCATTTCCCAAATGGCTGCTTCAGCCTGGCCCAGGCCAGGCACAACAGCTGGGAGCTGGATTGGAATTGGAGCTCATGTGGTACCAGAACTACAGGTGGCAGCCTCGCCCACTGCAAAACAACACCAGCTTCCATTTTACTCTCTAAGTAGAATGTGGTGCATGCCAAGGAATGCCATATTTACAGCTTTCCTCTTTTATTCTGGTCAGCTAAAGCCCTCAGTTTTTATGAAAAGATTTTATAGTAAATTAATTTCTGTCCTTTTTATTTATAAGGCTTGTAATGAACTTGGACAAACATGGATGGAATCTGGGGTCAGTGAAAATGCAGTTTCCGGGCACATACAGCTCATCATTCCTGGAGAATCAGCTTGCTTTGCGGTATGCATTATTTGGGATTGTTTTACTGTTAGGTAGTTGAGTTCCAGGGACATTGAAAATATATTACAATTAAAGGAAAACTTCAGTGAGATTGAATACTATTTGGAACATCTCATGCTTTTTGGCTATGTATTTTGAAATGTGTTTTCTTTATTTTTGTCTTATATAGTGTGCACCACCTCTTGTAGTTGCTGCAAATATCGATGAAAAAACTCTGAAACGAGAAGGTGTCTGTGCAGCTAGTCTTCCTACCACTATGGGAGTAGTGGCTGGGATCCTGGTACAAAATGTGTTAAAGTGAGTGAGGGCTAATTTTTCTGAATAGTCCTATATGCTTTTGATAAAAATGTTTCACAAAACATTTTAAAAATTGACATTACCAATAATTAGTGTTTTAGAATGTACATTGTGTTAAATATTTTATATATTTATATAATAAATGTTTTATAGATGTAAGTTACATATGTGTATATTTTCATATGTGTGCTTTTATGTACAAGGGTACTTTAGTAAGTTCATGGTAGATGTATATTATGAAAAAAGTAGATTTCAAAATATTTTTGCATCAAAAAGTTAACTTTAAAATTTTTTATAAGGTTAAAAATTATTTGAGAGGCAGAGAGACAGAAAGATATAGATAAAGAGTTCAAATCTTATTGTTAATTTCCAAATGCCTAGAATGGCCAGAGCTGGGCCAAGCCAAAGCCAGGAGCTGGGAACTCAATAGTCTCCCATGTGGGTGGGAAGAACCCAATTATCTGGGCCATGACCAGCTGCCTACTAGGGGGTGCATTAGCAGAAAGCTGGAATTGAGAGCAGAGCTGGGACTGGAAGCCAGGCACTCTGATATGGGTTGGGGGCTTCCCAAGCAGCATTGTAACAGCTACAAATGCCTGCCCCTAAGTTCATGTTTTCATTCCACTGTCATGAACTTTTGAATATCTTTGCATATGTGTACTTTTAATTTACATATATAGCTAAATGTTAATTTTTCATAACACACGTGTATATTTATATATGAATGTCAGTTATCCCCTGCATTTAGAATCTTGCTAAATGGCACAGTGATACTTGTATGTTTACAAGTATTTTATGAAGCATTAATCAAATAATGCAAATCTCTGCAGGTTTAACTAGTGGATGGAAACTGAGGCATAGACATTTGTTTCCTTATTTAACATATCTTGTGATTAAACATTAATTAGGGTTAATACCTTTGCTATCCAAAAACAGGTATCTAGCAATTTCACTTTTTAACCATAGCTAAAAACAAGGAAAAAGGTTCCTTTGCAGGTAAAAAAAAATTTTAAGGTTTTTATTTATTTATTTGAAAAAGAGAGAGAGCTTCCATCTGCTGGTTCTCTCCCCAGATGGCCACAATGGCCACAGCTGGGCCAGGTTGAAGCCAGGAGCCGGGAGCTTCTTCCAGGTCTCTATGTGGATGGCAGGGGCCCAAATACTTGGACCATCTTCCATTGCTTTTTCCAGACAATCAGCAGGGAGCTAGACTGGAGGTGGAGCAACCAGGCCACAAACCAGTGCCCATATAGGATGGCAGCATGGCAAGTGGCTGCTTTACCCACTATGCCACAATGCTGGCCCCTGCAGGTAAAATTTATGTAAAAGAGCTCATTTTATTAAAGTAGAACTGCTTTAAGTGTTTCCTTACTCAGACCATTTTTTCTCTCTCTTTACAATTTTAGTAAGCTTAGTTGTATTTCCTAAGCTTCCAATTTATTATAAGAACTGCAGAGTGTAAGTGGGCCCCCTGATACAGTGAGTGATGACAAAGCCATTGTAAAAAGCATACATAACAGACAGTCTAAGCCTATAGCCTATGCAGACTTCAGTAGGCCCTGCCTAAATGGACACTTTGCAGGACAGTACCAAAAAGGAAAAAGTCTTCTCTTAGGGATGTCATATTTATCAAGCCCTCTATTGCTGGACATTTAGGATGCTTACAAGTTTATTTAAATCGCTCCAGAATACAGATCGAAAGTTTATTTTTTCTTTTTTTTTTTTTTTTGACAGAGTTATAGACAGTGAGAGAGAGAGAGAAAAAGGTCTTCCTTCGTTGGTTCACTCCCCAAAATGGCCGCCACGGCCAGTGCTGTGCCGATCCGAAGCCAGAAGCCAGGTGCTTCTCCTGGTCTCCCATGTGGGTGCAGGGCCCAAGCACTTGGGCCGTCTTCCACTGCCCTCCCGGGCCACAGCAAAGAGCTGGACTGGAAGAGGAGCAACTGGGACTAGAACCCAGCGCCCATATGGGATGCCGGCGCCGCAGGCGGAGGATTAACCAAGTGAACCATGGCGCCAGCCCCATGTTTATTTGAGTACTGGATTTCTGTTTTAGAATGAATTTTTTAAGTGGGATTGAGTTTATGCAGTGTTTATTTTGACAGATATTATTGCATTTCTCTTCTAAAACTCAGAAGGGGCATTTATTACAGAACATTTACCTCATAAATTTGGGTGTGACTAAAGCTTACTGGTTATTGTGTGCATTTGCATGATAGTGTAGGAGTACCTGTTCACCCATTCCTTTGATAACATTGGCTGTCGCCTAATTCTTCACCCTGTCAGTCTGATAAGCAAAAAAATAAATTAAAAAACAATGGAAGTTTCCTCTTAATTTAACATTTGTAAAAAGGGTTGAGGGCTTGTATTTTTCAGCAGATAATCTGCTAGTATTCTTTATCTTTCCTAGTTATAGGGAGCATGCATGTTACTAAAATCATGACCTAGTCCATCTCATTTTTAAAAAATTTCATTATTTCCAGTACTTTCATGGTTTTATTTAATTCTACTTTGATTTCTTTTTCTAGGTTTCTGTTAAAGTTTGGTACAGTTAGTTTTTACCTTGGATACAATGCAATGCAGGACTTTTTCCCTACAATGTCCATGAAGCCAAATCCACAGTGTGATGACAGAAATTGCAGGAAGCAGCAGGAAGAATATAAGGTGTGTGTCAATCTGTCAGAATGGATGAGGGATCCCATTACATAGATCAGTGATTTTGGGAATAGATCCAAACGGGTTTGGAATACAAGATGAATGGATTCTAGATTTTTATATTTTTAATTTATTCACCACACTTAAAAATGGAAGTCTGTTCTTGTTTTTGGTGAGATAAAAAGCATGTCTGGATTCTCGAGTAACCAAGAATGAGTAAAAGCTGTGATGCTATTTGGTTTCTACAGAGAAAGGAAGCAGCACTGCCCAAGCAGGATGTCATTCAAGAAGAGGAGGAAATAATACATGAGGATAATGAATGGGGTAGGAATTCTTCTGTAAACTGAAGTGGCAGCATGAAACATTTTATGGCAGGGAATATTGTACAGATTTTGAATAATTACTGCTTGGTAATAAATTCATTAAAGGTTATAATAGGATAAACTTTAACTTTATAGGTATTGAGCTGGTATCGGAGGTTTCAGAAGAGGAACTGAAAAATTCTTCAGGTCCAGTTCCTGACCTACCTGAAGGAATTACAGTGGCATATACAGTTCCAAAACAGGTACCTCTAATAGCTGATTTACTTGTAAGTGAATGCCATGGAAGAGAAAATGTGTTTCACCTCCATCCTATTTTGTAATGTACTGTTTCTTGTTTTAGATATTTTTACACAATAGGCATTAAGATGTGAGAAAAGAGAAGGGTATTCAGTGTTCACATGGAGATATGCAGTTTGAAAATGTAGTTATAAAATGGTTTTGTGTACTCATTAATGGATCAAGTATAATAGATTTTTAAATTTGAGATGCACACAGAACAAGGAAGCTCCCATCTTGAGGTTTTACTCCTAAATGCCTGCAGCAGCCTCTGGCTGGGGCTGAAGCTTCAAGCCAAGAACTCTATCCAGGTCTCCTACATAGGGGAGGAACCCAATTACTTGAGCCATCACTGCTGGCCTCCCTTGGGATATGCATTAGCACACTGGGTGCCACTGAACATTTGCTAAAGGAATTCAAGAACAGGGATCAGCCTCCATGACACCACCATCACGAGTCAGTGGAGAGGCCACTCCACCAATGGAGGTCTTCAGCCCAGCTGTCTGTGAGCAGATGGCATCACTAATTCACTGGCTCCGGCCTGGATTGGAGGCACTGGGAAGGGGGCGGGGCCTCACCCTCCAGGCTCCATAACACCCCATCCCTTACCCCAGCCAACTAGAAAACACCATGAGGCAGCCAAGGTTGAGTCTTGTTGCTTTGTTATATTATATACATCCAAAACGTGACAGTAAAATATTCCTCCATGTTACAGAAAAGATATTAAAGCTTTCTATTATTTACATTAAACAAGCAAACAAATCAAAAAAGCCACACTCTTCCTGACACAGCCTGGCCACTGGGAACGCTGTATCCCCATCCACATGACTAAGAACTTTTGCAGGAATGTGCAAACAGCCTCACACTGGAAACCTTGGGTCTGGCTGGAGTCACAGGGGCTGGGTGCTGGAGGGCAAACAGGAGAGGGGAAGGGGGTCCCAGACAGGAGACTGCAGCCTCTCTCCACAGGGTCCTCTCCCCAGACTGCCCCAGGGGTCCTTGTTGAGCTTGGCTATCCTTGTGTAGATAAGGCTGCGCTCAAGGTGGTGGCTATCCGCTCCCCCAACCCCAACCCCGGCCTCCAGGATCAGTGTGCAGCAAGTCAGTTTCCAGGGATACTGGGTGTGTCTGGGACTCCCTACATGCCTGGGAGCAGACAGGAGGACAGAGATGGCTCAGTGCCCCTAGCGCCAGCCACACTGCAGGCTGCCCTGCAGGGTGGGAGTGGGCAGGGCTCCCTCTGTTGCAGTCAGGCCTGGCAGGCAGTGCAGCTCAGGTGGCTGGGCAGGGGCCAAGGAAAGGAAAGGAAAAGGTGGCTCAAGTATTCTGTGTCACAAGAGGTGGGCTGGGGGTGCCCGGCCCCAGTCCAGGAGGCACCTCTCCACCTGGGGAGCCAGGGGGGAAGGATGGAGTTTGGCAGATGCCTTCAGTTCGGACTGGGGGAGGTCAGTAGTCTGATGGTGGCTAGAAGTCACTTGATCTTCAGTCCCACTTCATGTCATCTGCCTGTGGCTCTTGCCGGCCAGGGCCTGGATGAGGTCCTGCAGGCATCGCCAGAAGCCCAGCTTCTCCAGGGGATAGTTGAGCCAGCCTGTGGTGATGCAGAAGTAGTTTTACTGGGTGAGACGGGGTGGATGGAGGCCAGGACTGAACCCAGGTACTCCAGAGTAGGCATCTTAAACACAAGGCCAAATGCCCACCCAAGTAGAATAGATTTTAATTAAATGAAGGCATTTTTATATTGATAGCTTTAGCCACAATTCCATTTAAAAACACTTAAGCACAGGTGCCAGTGTTAAAATTATTGCTTATAAATTAAAAAACTAGTAAGGAAAGAACTTTCTCCTAAAACTCAGAAGGGGCATTTATTACAGAACATTTACCTCATAAATTTGAGTGTGACTAAAGCTTACTGGTTATATTTACACTAAGAATTTCATATGGTTATTTTTTCCCTGTATTTGCCTCATTTGTTATTAGCAAGAAGATGCTGTACCTGCAGTAACAGTGGAAGATTCTGGTGAAAGCTTGGAGGAACTCATGGCCAAAATGAAGAATATGTAAATAATGGACTGGCTTGTATTCTGTTTCTGGTATTTAAGCCTATTCCCTTGAAATTAAAAATATTTTCCCTTAAACTAATAAAAATTAGGGCAACATTAACTGATGTATATAATCTTCACTTAATTGTTATACTCAACTGAAAATACTATTATCAAGCCCCCCCTTTCCAATTAAGTAACTCTCCCATAATGTTTCATTCTAGTAAGAAAACGCCAAGAGTCTACTGTGGGCAGTTATAAATTGAAAACAGCTGTTGAAATGTTTTAGCCTTTTGGAGTGGAAAAGACCAGTGTGACCCAGTGATCCCCTGTGGCCTTTTGCCTGAGGACAGAACAGTAAGGTAGGGCAAGCACAGGGGGGACAGAGGTGCACTCCACTGGCGCTGCTTGGAATTGCTACCCCTAACTTGACCAACAATGAATTTAAAAGTTAACCTATAAAAACATCCTATCAAAGGTTTCCTGAAGGGAGACAAGCCTATAAATCCATCCATTATTTATTCATATAAGACAAAAGCAAATAAAAGGCAGCTGTCTTCACAGATATTCAGATTGTATTTTATTGTGCAGACCCGAGTCCCTGTGCACTCCCGAAGGAGGCCTAAGTGTAGGCTGAGACTGCAGAGATCGCACCTGTCAGACAGGGTCCCCCGAGACTTCACTTAAATTCAGTTCTCCAGGCAATAAGAGTGGCAAGGTTAGGTCTTCACAGTGGGCATAAAAGAAAAACTCTAAATTGCTTCTTCAGTGACTGAAGTATGTTTATTTGTTCACTAGAAGAGTATCATTTTCCATGATTGTGACCACAACCTGTAAACTGACAAACTTTTTCTTTGAAGTATTGCATACGAATAAGGCAGGCTAGAGATGCATCCTAGTGATTTGGAGACCAATAAATGACATGCAGGTGTATCCATTACCAGTCGGCTTTTTCTATGCTAATTTTTTTTTTTAATTATTTTTATTTATTTGAAAGAGTTACAGAGAGAGGTAGACAGAGAGGTCTTCTATCCACTGGTTCAGTCCCCAGATGGCCACAACGGCTAGAGCTGCACCCATCCAAAGCTTGGAGCCAGGAGCTTCTTCCAGGTTTCCCACGTGGGTGCAGGGGCCCAAGGACTTCTTCTACTTCTTCTACTGCTTCTACTACTACTTCTTCTACTACTTTCCCAGACCACAAGCAGAGCGCTGGATTGGAAGATGAGTAGCCGGGACTAGATCCAGCGCCCAGGGCTTTAACCCACTGCGCCACAGCACCGGCCCTTATGCTAATCTCTTATTCTGATGATTCTTACTTTGAAGATATTAATATCCAAGCTGATCTCTAGGGAGAAAATGTTAGTGAAAAACTAAAAGTATATTTCCCATTTTAAGATCTGAAAATTAGTTTCAGAAAGTCTCAAATATGTTCAGTGTATTAGTTTTAAGATTCTAAGACTGTACTGTTAATTCTTACGTTTAAAGTGAATTCAGTAAAGAGGGGGGTAGTTTTTCTAGCCTTGAAGCTTATATTTTCCTGGTTAAGTCTTCTACCATTTTTAAATGGTGTGTTGAAACATCACTTTTCTAGTTGCTTAGAGATGCTTTGAATTTGCAAAATGAAATGCAGTCTTTCTGAATAATGAAATCTCCGACACACAAATCTGGTAAGGTTTTACATACAAAATTCTGTGTTCTGATAAAGTATCTACTTTTAACTTGGTACTGCATCACTGCTGGTATCTTACACTGCACCCAGATCATCAATTTTTTTGTGCAGTATTTTTCATTAAAGATGGCTGGGTTATTTTACCAGGGGAAAAAAAAAATCTAGTAACAGGCATTTGTTGCTACCTGAAGTGCCCACTTGACAGTCTGCATGCCATGGAAACCTTTCTAAGTAGGCAGCTATTTCTAGAATAAAGCCCTCATGTTTGACTAGGCTTGTAAATACTGGTGATTCTAATGCAAAAAAATGGAAAAGCAGCCCCCAAATTGCCTTAGCACAGAGATGAGTTATAGTTGACAAGTCATTCAACTTTGGTAATCGACTTACAGTCCTACTAAATGTTTTTAAGTAGTAAAGAAAATATGTTCCTATTTTATCTTTTTAGGTTTTTTTCCTCTTGAACTTCTCTCAAAAAGGATAAGCAGGGTGCTCATTTTTTTTCAAGATCCTGCCTAACTTACCACTGTCATGCTCAGAATTAGGCCATTGCTTCACAAGCATATGAATCCCCTGAGAACCTGGCTAAGATGCACATGCTGATTAGCAGGGCTGGAGACAACCCTGAGAGTCTGGATTTTTCATAAGCCCCAGGTGGTGGTGATGTGGTCTGGGCATCACTCTGTGAATATTAACCAAAACCCTACAGAGTTCTTCAGGTGGGACAAACTATTTAGGGGTTATTAAAACCATTTACCTCTTATTTTGTTCAGAGTATTTCTTAAATAATTATGCAAAATATAACCTTTTATAAACCAGAGTGGGGAACAGAGAACTTGGAATTGCACTTTATTTTAAATAGCAAAGTATAGTTATTACATCTTTCATCTTTATAATACATGTTGAAATCTTACACATATTAACATTGATTTTATGTATAAATAATATAAAAGGTATAAAACAGTATCCAAACTGTGGCAATACTTATACAACTGTAAAAAATATTTAGCTTTCAATATAAAAGTACCAGACTAATTTGAGTTTGAGGTAAAGGAGACAGATTTAGGCCACTTATGAGAGCAGAGGAGAATGTTAGGTCCATATTTTGGGACAGCTCAAATCTACAGAGCCTGCCCTGGTATGGCTGTTGTCTGTGGGGTTGAGCCAATGCATGCACAATGAGCACAGAAAGCAGTTGATCTTCATCTGTTGACAGAATAAAAAAAAAAAAAGTAATCCCAAATGCTATGAGCAATTTATTTCACTGAAAACAATTCATACCTTCCTAAACATTATCTCTTTAAATCCTTGAAACTCTTTGAGGTAGAGAATTGTGTCAGACTACTGCTGAGAAACAAAGACATGGCTAAGGGAGCTTGAGGAGCCGTGCATGGATTCTGACTCCGTGTGTAACTGCGCAGCAAGAGATGCAGGCCTCATACTCACTGCTGGTCAGCATGCAGGGCTAGCATCTGCATCCTTGGATCTCACACAGTAGGGAAGTCAGACACAAGCCCAACTCACGCTTAACAGAGTCCCGTGCAATTTCATATAAAGTCATTAGCACAAATAAATACTGTTGACATTTTTGTTTTCCAATGTGCTGAATGTTGTTTTCATTCTACGTTACATGGGCAAAGGGCTGTGAGTTCTGCCGTTACTTCTGGCCTTGATGGATGAAACCGTGAGGCGAGTGAGCCGTTTTTAAGCTGAAGGTGTCTCCACTCGACGAATGTCGCGAAGGAGCTTTTCCACCCAAGAGTGATGTTTCTGCTTCTTTTATTTCCATAGCCCGTTTGTATAGCTCAGCAGCTTTTTCAAAATCCCCTTCTTCATAGCTTTGAGAAGGAAACAATTTAAAATGAAACTGTGACCCCTTTAACAATTTTAAATGCCCTTATGAGATAAAGAAAGACAAGCTGTGGTAACGGCTCCATGTCCCGTTTTCCCAGTGTGTTCACTGGGGCAGACCAATAAAATGGATTTCTCAAAAACTTCTCTCTGCACAGTGTGACACCCCAGTGTCTCGTGCACACCAGGAAGATGACCATGTTGTAATGGATGCAGTGGGAGTGGATGCAGTGGGAGTGGATCCCAAGACAAAAGCAAACGCAAAACTCAACAAATAATGCCCAGAGGACAGCAAATTGCTCAGATCACCCCAAAGCCAGTTAGCTACAAATCTCATCCTTTGCTGTCTGCTGTGACAGGTGCCGCTGCAAACCTACATCATGTAGCCCTCGTTTCGCTCCCATAGACTGCTTTAGAATCAGAGGAGATCAGCAAAAAATGCCTTCCTCCCTCCAGGAAAAAAACAGGCCCAGCAATAAATATTTGTGCTGATGAGTCAAGACTCTTTTTAATGCATCAGGCTGCAGGAGGAACGTAAAGAAATTCTTACCTAAGCACAGCTAAATTTTTTAATGTTTCTCCAACTCGAGGATGCATCCGACCCAAGCTATCTTCATAGATCTTTAATGCTCTTTCGTATAATGGCAAGGCTTCCTTGTGTCTTTTCTTAAGAAAAAGTAATACTCATTTAACACACTGAGTTTCTAAGGTTAGTATTAGCATATCCTACACTTAGCTGGCCAACCTACGTTGGCAAGCACATTTAAAATGTTAACAGTCTCCTAAAGGATACAAATAAACATTAAGTTATGAATAATAAAAATGAGAAAAGCAACATAAAGTTAGAAGCCTGTTTTAAGTCTGGCTTGGTAAGTGTTTAACTTTAACCCAATAAAATAAGCACAAACCTAATTCTTACACAATGGGTACTACACAGTCTCATTCAGTAACAGGCAAATGCTGTACAGGCTTAAAGACAGAGAAGAGGGAATCTCTGGAACTTAAAAAAAGTAAGCCTATGTTCTGAACCAAGCAGTTGGTGTTTTACACCCAGAGGGACTGACCACCTTACTACTATAACTTTGAAAATTTATCCAAGTAATAAAAAAGGAGGCATTAGTACTCATCTGTAATCAATTTGTACTGTGCTACGCCTACCTCACAGCTATATTTTATGCCTTAAAGGCATTCATTTATGAAGAGTTACAACGTGGGGACTTACCATTTGGCTGTAAAGAACTGCTAAGTTCACCAAGGCAGTGGCTACACTAGGGTGCTTTGGACCAAAAGATTTCTGTCGAATTTCAACAGCCAATTCATACAAAGGTACTGCTTTGTCCAGTTTTCCCTATAAAAACAAAAGTATAATCAATACTAGTGATCAGAGCTTTTCTAATAAATAGAATTTTACATTCAAAATAATTTTGTGGGAAAAAGTTTATAGATAAGTGACAATCTAGTACAATTGTAGGTAAAGTGACAGTGATTATAGAAACACATTCTTTGATAATGTGCAAAGCCCTTTAGGATCACCTATCAGTACTCACTGTTTCTGTATATGCCAATTAGAGTAAATTTGCTACTGCAAGATGGCATCAAAGGGGCAGGTGCTATAGCTCAGTAAGCTAATCCTCCACCTGTAGCACTGGCATCCCATACGGGCACCAGTCCTGGCTGCTCCTCTTCTGTTCCAGCTCGCTACTTAACGGCCTGGGAAAGCATTGGAAGATGGCCCAAGTGCTTGGCCCCTTGCACCTGCCTGGGAGACCCAGAAGAAGCTCCTGGCTCCTGGCTTCGGATTGCCCAGCTTTGGACATTGCAGCCATTTGTGGAGTGAACCAGGGGATGGTTCTCCCTCTCTCTCTCTGTAACTCTACCTCTCAAATAAATAAAATCCATATACATATATATATATACACACATACACACACACACAAATATATATATATATACACATACACATATATACAAGATGGTATGAAACTACAAACTGATTTCCAACCAAGTTCCTTCCAGATTTTCCAAATTATTTCCCTTTACTTGAAAGTTTGGGAGAAACAGCAACAGTGTATCCTTACTATAACAACTTCAGTGAGGGACAGCCAGCAAGGGTCCCCCACACACAGCAGACTCCATGCAGCAGACTTCTCAGGCATTGTGTTGCAGGGCAGATAAAAAATTTCCAGACTTCCCTCCCATGGCAAAGAATGGTTGCATTTAATTGTAGGCAAAGTCAAGACACAAAAAAAATGCTCATTTAATCAACTAAAAAGACACCTCCCAGAGCACTGGCACTGTGTGACTTGTTACATTTGTGGTTGCTTTCACAACAAACATAATAGCAGTGGGACTGTAGAATTGAAATGCAGGAAGATTAAACTAGGATGCTGATGAACACACTTGTATTTGGAATGTATTTTAACAAAACTAAACCAATGTCTTCATTAAGCCTCAAATAGTTTCTTGAAATGTTCTACTCAATTATATGTTAAAAAATAAATCACTACAATTTGAAGGTTCATATAAAAGACATCTATCCTTCAGAAGACACCGAACTTGCTGGCTTATTATAAAATAACACATGAGCGGAGCTGGTGCTGTGGCCTAGTAGATAAAGCCACTGCCTGCAGTGCCGGCATACCATATGAGTGCCGGTTTGAGTACCGGCTGCTCCACTTCCCATCCAGCTCTGCTATGGCCTGGGAAAGCAGTAGAAGATGGCCCAAGTCCTTGGGCCCCTGCACCCACATGGGAGACCCAGAAGAAGCTCCTGGCTCTTGGCTCCTGGTTCTGGATCAGTACAGCTCCGGCTGTTGCAGCCGGCTAGGGGGTGAACTACAGGATAGAAGACCTCTCTCTATGTCTCTACCTCTCTCTGTCTCTCCTTCTCCTGTGTAACTCTTTAAAATAAATAAATCTTTAAAAAAAAACACATGAGCATGCAAGGCTCACTTACCATTTTTTTATACAAGATTGCAAGATGCTTCACGGTGTAGGCCAGAGAAGGGTGGTCAGGAGCCAGCGCTCGCCTCCGGATGTCCAGCGCCCTCTCGTAAAGCTCCTCCGCCTTCTCATACTGTTTCTTTTCATTGCACAGAGCCGCCAAGTTATTGAGGGACTGGGCGCAGTCAGGGTGATCCGGCCCTAGAATGCGCTCCCGCATTTCCAAGGACCGCTTCAGAAACTGGTCAGCTGTCCTAGGGACGGAACCCCGCAGCAGGTTAAACCTTTCTGCACGCTACAATCTGAAGCTCTAGTTAAGTACAAAATGAAATCTCTTATTCTTAGACCCCTGTTAAAATGAATTCAGCTCAAACTCATCTCTGCATCCCCTGCACCATGCCCCCACCTTTGTGTTCCTGAGGCTTAGAGGGACAAAATATCAGGATGACTGCTTTGATTCTCTTCTCCTAAAAGACAAATGTTTTCCAAAACAAACTGTTTATACCTTTAACATTCTTAAACCTAAGTCAAATAAAAGGACTTGCTCTTCATTCTTCCTCCCTTTAGAGTTTGTACTAATTTTTAATAAACCTGCCCTCTGTGAACTAAATATCAATTACTTTTTACTGACATCCAAAGTTTCAAATGTTGTATTTTTCTGTCACCTAAAATCCAAAAATATTTTTATAAAATGGAAGTATGAACACTATGTGAATCGTATATAACCAAGTAAAATGATGAGTAAAACTGGCAACCATCTACATGGCAACCATCTACATTTTTCTTCATTCTCCATTAATCCCAGGTTTCTTCTCCAGGGTCTCATGTGCAGTAAGTACATAGTTCATCCTTCACAAATACATATGCCATGGAAGGGAGGCTACAGAGTTAACTTCCTAGTTCAGAAATAATGTTAAAGGAAATAGCAGGATGGGCCAACACTGCAGCACCAGTGCCGGCATCCCATACAGGCATGCCGGCTTGTGTCCCTGCTGCTCCTCTTCCAATCCAGCTCCCTGCTGTGGTCTGGGAAAGCAGTGGAAGATGGCCCAAGTGCTTGGGCCCTTGCACCCACATGGGAGACCCGGAAGAAGCTCCTGGCTCCTGGCTTTGAATCGGCTCATCTCTAGCTGTTGCAGCCATCTGGGGAGTGAACCAGTGGATGGAAGACCTTTCTGTCTCTCCCTCTCCGTGTCTATAACTCTGCCTCTCAAATAAATAAATACCTTAAAAAATAATAGGAAATGGCAGGAAAAATGCTATGATCCCTCATACATGAAATGTAGCTTTTTTTTTAGCCAACTTTTTTCTTGGCTTTCAGACTTGATGGAAACATAAGACAGCATGGCATCATTAGGTACTTATTTTCATTGTTAACACCATGGTACTCACTCCAGGTTGTTCTGTAGATAGTACAGCACACCCAGTTCATTGAGGGTCCGCGCATTATCAGGCGTGTCCTTACCCAGAGTCAACTCTTCCAGCTGCAGGGCCCGCCTACGCAAAAGGGCGAATCCATACTGCAGCAAACACAAAGATGGACACCACCTGAGCGGGTGCCGCCTCAGTCCTGAAACACCATCTTGGGGCCTCAAAACATCCTCCTTTCACTCCCTCTAATTCTAGATGACAATTCTTTTAAGAATCACATTGAATCAATGTGTATCAGTAACTCTTACTAAACACTATCATGAAAATGACTGAGATATTTCAGCACAGTATATTTCAAAGTGCTTCAAAACAATTAGGAACAATTCACTTGCAGATAATTACCAACCCCACTGCTAAGCACTCATTAGGGTCTTAGAAATACAAGCAGCATTCTAAGTTAAAATACACAAGTATGCGGCTGGCGCCGCGGCTCAATAGGCTAATCCTCTGCCTAGCAGCGCCGGCACACCAGGTTCTAGTCCCGGTTGCCCCTCTTCCAGGCCAGCTCTCTGCTGTGGCCAGGGAGTGCAGTGGAGGATAGCCCAAGTGCTTGGGCCCTGCACCCCATGGGAGACCAGGAGAAGCACCTGGCTCCTGCCATCAATCAGTGCAGTGCGCTGGCCGCAGTGCGCCGGCCACGGCGGCCATTGGAGGGTGAACATACGGCAAAGGAAGACCTTTCTCTCTGTCTCTCTCTCTGTCCACTCTGCCTGTCAAAAAAAAAAAAAAAGAAAAAATACACAAATATGCTACATTTAGATTTGATCAGTAATTTAGAAACATGAAAATAATTTTTTATGCTCAAGGAGAATTTCTTCATAGGAATTCAGCATGTCAATCCCTTTTATTCCCTTTTCTAACCCTTTACATAAAAGACTGAAATAGCTTTAAATTCTATCATCCACAGGCTAACCTTCAAACGAACTTTATAGTTCCACATTTTAAAAGTCCAAGTTAAACTTCTTATAATTTTATTTAGAGATGTATTATAAATAAAAACTATTAATTAGTATTTTCCTAGAGGTCACTTTAGAATTTAAAGCTCTTAACCATGCAAAGTTTATACACTTAGGATATTCAGAGGATGCTCTTTTTCTCCTTGGTTCAAACGTAACACAGGGGCCAAAATTGAGGTGCAGCAGGTGAAGCCATCACCTCTGATGCTGGTATCCCATACTGGATGCTACCTCTGATCCTAGCTTTGAAGGATCACACTTGCACCCCTACCACCCATCTAGGAGACCCGGATGGAGGTCCAAGTTCCTGGCTTCGGCCTGGCCCAGTCCTGGCTGTTGCAGCCATATGTGGGGTGAACCAATGGGTAGAAGATCTATCTGTCTCTTTCTCTCACTCTGTCACTCTGCCTTTCAAGTAATTAAATAAATCTTACAAAAAACAAACAAAAAAAAGCAATCTCTCATTACCAGGTTGCCTTTTCTCCTTGTAGCTTTCTGACGAATTTTAAAGGATTTTTTCCTAAAATGTTCAGCTTGTTCATATCTTAAAAAGAAAAAAGTATATTAAGTCAAACAATATGTAAATAATCACAAGATAAGCATACCTCAGTGAAATGAAAATGGTGCTTACATAGAATAAAACCTTTTACTTATAGCATTATTCTACAAGTGGCAGTCAAATGTAATTAAAAATTTAATGAAAACCTTCATAAAACAAAATTTGACAAACAATAAATAAATCTAGTTCTCGGAGTAGCTGAATAATTTCTTTTAACTGATTTAATTAATTTTGAATCTCTACAGGCCAACCTAACAATGAAAATCCACAATTTTAGTTTAGTATATAGCACCTCTCTCTGTACAGGCTAACTTTTAGCTAAATACAAATGTGAAATTTGCTGAAAACTTGAATGAAACAAGAAATTAAAAAATTATAACATGCACTAGGATCAATCATGGCACCAAGGAAACAATTTCTCGGGGGAAGAGGTGCCACCAGGGCCTGTCACCCCAAGAGGCTCTGACAGGAAGGGTCAGCACAGTCTGTGAGGGGCCGGGTGCTACCCAGCACCTGTCACCCGAGAAGCCTGGACACAAAGGGTCAACACAGCCTCTGTGAGGGGCCAGGTGCCACCCAGTGCCTGTCAGCCCTAGAGGCTCTGACACAAAGGGTCAGCACAGTCTCTGTGAGGGGCTGGGCAGTATCCCAGGCTTTGTGCTGCACCTCAGGAACCCCGACCCTGGAGCACAGAAGCAACAGCAGCTAATAGAAACAAACATATGTGGCTGTGTTCCCATGAAACCTTGTCCATGAAACGGATGTGGCCTCTCAGCAGTGTTGACCCCATGTTGGAGATGCGTGCAATTCTCCATGCTGGTGAGTGAGCCAGAACTCAACCCAAGACCACAGACTCCAAAGTCCACGCTCTACCCTTTGTGCATCTTTAGATATGAATCTCGCAGTCATAATTTTCTCAACCTCACCAAGATTCTGACCAAGAAATACTATTTGAACCTGATGCACAGGATAAGGAAAAGTACACAGCCACAAAGCAATGCTTCCCACATCTGTACATTAACAACCTGTAACCCCGCCGCAGAAAGCCAGAGGACTACTCATCTACATCTTACTTATTCTGTTTCTGGTACAAAGTCGCAAGTGCCTCAAGTTCCCGGGCAGTGCGTGGATGGTCTGCACCATAGGCGTTTTCCGAGATTTCCAGGGCCTGTTTGTACAGCTGCTCTGCATTGCCAAACTTCTTCCACTGCACATACACACTTGCTAGTTGGTGAAGGGACTGAGCTACTCTCGGGTGATCTGGATCTAAAGCTGTTTCGCGAATTTCTAGAGACCTCTGCAGAGGTACTACAGCCTGGGGAGACAGGGGAAAGGCCAATGAAAGTTAGGGAAGTGCTGTACAGCTCTCAGCATGACACAGGCAAGTGGCATTACCTCCTGGGAAGGGGGATGAGCAGCTAGTAAAAGCCCACCCTGTCTCCTGACTTCCACTTACCTGGCTGAGGAGGCCTAGGTCCTTGAGAAACCGCCCCAGGGTTTCATAAAGATCAGCTAAGCAAATCATGTTCTCCTCGCCATCACAGTTTTTCTCATACCGCTTCAATGACTCAAAGTATTCTGCTGCCATCGCGCTTTTGTCTTTGCCAACAAACTGCCAATAACTCAGCAACTCAGCAAAGTGTCCTCTGTGTCCAGACATGACAGCAATTTAATGAAAAACTAACTTAAACGTCCTCTGTAGAATGAAAACGGCAGAATTCATAGCAAGTTACTGACAATTTATCAGGAGGGGACTACAGTATGGTGAGGGGAGACAGACTGCCAGGCATCTGAGCTCCAGCACTTCCTAGCTGCACACTCTCCAGCAGGGATCTGACGTCTTACACCACACCACACTCGGGCACAGAAGCGGGGACACCGGCACTACACGCCACGGCTGTTACTACAGCAGATGATGGCACCACGGTGTTGGCTGCTGTCGCTGTTGTCATCATGGTTTCTCACCAAAGGAAAGGCATCTGATTCCTCTCTAGGTATTTCACAATATACTGACAACTGAGTGACCGGGGAGGGCCCTCGAGATCCCCCCTCAACACCACACACTCTGAGTTTCACTTTGTGCTTCAAGTATCCTGACAACATGGGAGCTCTCTGCCACACACACAGGGAATCCACAGTATACGCCTCTCCCAGAGGTCCATCACAAATGTCCGTCATGAGCACCAAGGTCACAGCGCCAGGCAACGCCCTTCACACTTTAGGGAGAAAAACCCCAAATCAGAAAGGGTGGCCCTGGGCTCTCTGCAGTGGCCCACTCCTCCCTTGGAACACCCTTTAATAAACGTTTGCTCTACTGTTCCTCCTTTCATCTCTCGGATCTGTAATTCCTTACTGTGTCGTGGAGATGGCATTGAAGCAAGCTGGCCTCTGGCGGTGACAATCCCACCGCCAGAATTATCTCAAATGATGGAAATCAGAAACTACTGGAGTGTCTACTCTATTTTCATCAAGGAACTAAATGGCAAGAAGCTTCTTCACTTGTGGGTGGATGGGCGAGCTGGTAAAGAATGAATCTGGTAAAGAAAGCTGGTAAGTGAAGCTGCTAAAGAAAGGCATCACGAAAAACTGGAGTGGACATCAGAAATAATTTAAGAGGTGCAGCAGGCCCTGAGAGAGCTCACTCAGGAAATTAAAATTATGTAGCCATTTCCCCAGAAATCTCTAAGCAAGGCAGATCACATCTTCGTGATGCTTAGTAGGTCACAAGCTTGGCTCACAAAAAGAAGTTTCTGTCACGGACAAACCCAAACCAACCACAAGAAACAGGAAGAATTACAACCCCCACGCATCAGGGTGAAGTTCATCTCCAGTCAGATTCTATGTGGAGCGAGAGTGAGATCTGACAGCTACACCCGAGACACTGACAGCCCCAGGAGGCAGACATCAACCGCCTCTGCCGCTTAAATCAAGAGGCTCAAGCTCCACCTGCTTAACGCAAGAAGTCATAAACTGGTCTCCACTCTCTGAGGCTCTGACTCCAGGAAGCAGCGGTGCCCCACGCTTCCCTCTGGAAGCAGCAGCTCTCCCCGCAGCCCGCACATCTCCCCCATGCTGTGTGCAGTTCACGCCCACTGAGAGCGGATGGACTCCCCTGGGAAGACGTCCTGGGAGAAGTTTCTTACCTCTTATAAAGATTCTGAGACACGAGGAGGTTGAGCAGGCCATCGTGTAACTGCTGCTTATTCCCCTGCTGCTGAAGAAGCCACAAGAGCTCATCCGCACTTCTCCAGGTGACCCTGTCCTGACTGCGGGGGAGAGGGCGGCTCAAGGAGGGAACACACCCAGCGCGCCTCTGCCACTCTACGAGAAAGGCAGAACACCACCCCAACCTCTACCAATCTAACCATGAAAACAAGTTCCACAACATTCAGGACCATTAACTAAACAAACTCCAAAGGTATTGCCCTAAAAACTAAGAAACCCCACAATGGACCCAAATACAAGCACATGTATTTTAAACTGTTTAGTTAGAATAAAATAAAATGATCCGGCATTGATGTCACTGAAGTGTATTAAAAGACTTATAAGATCATCTTGTCTTGATGTTAACAGAATTGGCAGAGCTATTTATAGTAATGAAGTTTTATACCTTAAGGTTTAAGAAAGAGAGACAAGGACACAAAAGTGTGGGAAGCACAAAAGACACTATGGGGACATCTGCATTACCTGAGCTGCAAGGTGAAGTAGTTGATCAGCTTCTGCCTATATGAAGAAGTAAGCGTGGGCCCTTCCAGGTACTCCAGCCTCACTGTTTCCCAGGCCTAGGGAGAACGACATGCATTCTACTTTATGCACGTCACCATGTACCTCACAGTGAGTGTGAAAAGGATGCATCATTACTTCAATTTTACAGTTGTAGAATAGAAATCACAGGATACTTTTAAATTCAAGATATCTTTATGTGATAAGCTGATTTAAAATAAAATTTCCTACTATTATTTAATAACTCAAAACACATTTTAATTCAAAGTTTTCATTACTACATTTAAGATCTCAGAAACGTAAGGTGAAAAGTTACCAAGTCAAAGCAATACACAACAGAGAAAGGTGAGCCTGTGAAATCACAAACACATCTTGTTTACGGATGCAGCACACACGTAGATGCTGAGTGCCTCACCCAGACCCAGTACCAGCTCCCTGGGCGCTCTCAGGGCCTCACCCAGACCCAGCACCAGCTCCCTGGGCGCTCTCAGGGCCTCACCCAGACCCAGCACCAGCTCCCTGGGTACTCTCAGGCCCTCACTGGGACCCAGCACCAGCTCCCTGGGTGCTCTCAGGGCCCCACCCAGACCTGGCCCTCACTGGGACCCAGCACCAGCTCCCTGGGTGCTCTTAGGCCCTCACTGGGACCCAGCACTACCTCCCTGGGTGCTCTCGGGGCCTCACTGGGCCCAGCACCAGCTCCCTGGGTACTCTCAGGGCCTCACTGGGACCCAGCACCAGCTCCCTGGGTGCTCTCAGGCCCTCACTGGGACCCAGCACCACCTCCCTGGGTGCTCTCAGGGCCTCACCCAGACCCAGCGCCAGCTCCCTGGGTGCTCTTAGGCCCTCACTGGGACCCAGCACCAGCTCCCTGGGTGCTCTCAGGCCCTCACTGGGATCCAGCACCAGTTCCCTGGGTGCTCTCAGGGCCTCACTGGGACCCAGCACCAGCTCCCTGGGTGCTCTCAGGGCCTCACTGGGGCCCAGCACCAGCTCCCTGGGTGCTCTCAGGGTCTGAGTGAGGCGGGCCAGTCTGCCCGGGAGCAGGACAGCAGGACCTGTGCACGGCAAGAGAGCTGTTAAGCTCTGAAGAGCCAGGGATTGAGAGGAGGAGGCCGCGCTTCTAGAGTCCATGCTCTTAACACGTGTGTAACATCAGCACGTCACAGAAACATGAACCAAAAAGAACATTCTCTTCCAGAAAGAAACGAAGGAAACAACCCTTTCTCATTTTCGATTTAAAACTGTCGTATTACAGTAAAACCACTAAACAGGAGCCCCACCCTGTTAGGGAATGTCTAAGCACTGGTAACCATGGGGATGATGTTGTACAGCACATCTGAGATCTTATTCACTTGGTAGAAACCACCTCTCACAGGAATCAGCATAACAGTAGCCACAAGTTACACCTAACCCAAATAAAAACACCCCCAAAAAACTGTAATGCCAAATAGCAGACTTCAGTGCTGGCTTATAACTGAAACATTTAACCTACAATAGTACAGGATAACATAGTGATATGCTGATATTCATTAAGCACAAAATCTTATTAGAAGATGCTTAAAATAACAGTTACCTGTAGATTCTGAAACCTGAGCAAGCCACAACCATAAGTTAACAAACACATTTTGTATAAACTGTGAATAAGAGAGGTCAAGACAGCCCAGGATAATTCAGGGTAGAGTTCCATCAGCTCTGATTCACTCACACCATTGTGACTAACATTGATGAGGCAGAGAATCTAGGCAGAGAAGCAAAGTAACAGTCACCATAAAAACTCCTCGTAACTAACTGAAATTCAGAGAGGCAAAATAATAGTCACCATACAAACACCTCTATAACTAACTGAAATTTCCATAATTTTTAATCTTCCATAAGCCTATTAACATTTTGCCTAAATTTATTTATAATTCAATTTAATAAATCAAGAAACAAATTTCTTACAATAAAACACACTACCAAAAAAGGCATTAATCAAGAATAGGATAATGTATATACAAAATCTAGTGCACCAAACACAATATTTGTATAGAGCTCATTAAAAATTAAACTCCATTAAATGTATTGTTTATGCAGTTTTAATGACAGAATCCTAATTCTGGGAAGACAGTGGAAGAAAACACTCATCCTACTGACATATAAAACAGAAAAGAACAAGTCTAAAAATAGCCCACAAAACAAAGAAAAAGTCCTTGAGGTGCCAAACACAAACAGGAAACAGAGCCACCAGCTGGAGCTGCTTGCTGTGCCTTGGAGAGAGAGGACAGGCAGCATTTCCAGGAACTTATGGGCTTAGGCATTCACACCCACAGTAGGATGGGAGGTGAGCCCGAAGTCCCCAGAGGAGAGGGGAAGGAACAACACTGGCCAACAGCAGGACCCCTGAGGCAAATGTGACCCGCAGACACAGAAAGGATAGGAGCAGGCTGTGGCCTGGGGGTGAAATAAGGAGTCAGGACCCCAGGAACCACCAAGCTGAGAAATCAACATAAAATTGGATCGGTTTTAAACTGTCAAATATCAAAGTTGACTACATTAATAATTAAAATGGTATTTTAATTATAAAGTATTTAGAAACTAATATTAATAACAGATATGCATGAAATTTATGGATAAAAAGATAAAGCATTATTGAAGGATATTAAGGAAGATGGACAGTCATTTAGCTTTCCTCAAAGGGGAAGACACACAATAAATCTCCCCACTTTAATCTCTAAATTCAACATAATTCCAACTAACATTCCGAAGTGGGTTACCAGGACACATGTGGAGTCCATTCTAAAAATAATATGGAGAATGAACCAAAAAAATTGTGAAGATTAAAGGAGACTTTCCCAGCCAAATGTCAAAACTTACTTTAAAGCTCTAGTGGCTAAGACAGTGTGGTATAGGCAAAGAACAGGCAACAGACACATACTTATACATGAGCTTGGTATTTGTCAGGCAGCACTGCAAGGCAGCAGCAAAGATGTACCATTTAGTCAAGAACAGCTAGCCACATGACAAAAGATTAAAAATAGCAGATTCCATCCTTACATAATAAAATCAATCACCATGAGTTAGGGACTTAAGACACCAAGAACAAGACTGTAAATTTTTTGAGGGAACTTGCGCATAATCACACAGGAACACTTATATGAGAGCAAGAGATTTTTTTTTAAGATACAACAGGTGTAAACCATGAAAAAATTGGTGATAAGTAGAATTTTATCAAAATAAAACTTTGAATGACATCATACAGTCAAAAGAAACAGGACAAAGATATTTATGTGCAAACTCTCTAACAAGGCATCTGTGTTCAGTATGCAGAATATTTAATAATAGATCAGTAAGAAAGGACAACCTTTCTTAAAAATAGGTTGAGAAGGGGGAGGGCAAGTGTTCGGTGCAATGGTTAAGTCCTCAGTTGGGACAGCTGCATCCGTATAGCAGTACCTATTTCAAGTCCTGGCTGCTCTGCTTCCCATCCAGCTTTCCCTAACGCCCATCCTGGCAGGCAGCAGGTGATGGGAAGTATGTGGATCTCTGCCACCTACATGGAAGACCTTGACTGAGTTCTGGGCTCCTGGCGTTGGCTTGGCCCAGCCTTAGCTGAGTAAACCAGCAGATGGAAGACCTCTCTTTTGTCTCTGTTTCTGCCTTTCAACAAAAATGAAAAAATAAATTTTTTTAAGGGGTGAAGGACGAGAACCTACAATTCATACAGGAGCAAACTAGGATAACCAATATGTATGAAAAGCTAATAAAGCACATTCATAATCATGAAAACACAATCTTCCACAAGAACACAATGGTTGCTAGCATTACTGAACATTCTTAAAGATTTAAAGAATTTTATTTCCTTCAATTTACTCATAAGGACAAGCAAGACAAACTGATCTTCCTTTCATATGTCAATTACACGTTACCTGTTTCATTAGTTCCTTATCCCCATCATTTGCCATGGACTCCCAGATGGAGTGCAGAACAAGCCTGTACAACGAAGCAGTATCTTGACACTGGAAACACTGGTGAAGGGTTTTATCTAAATTCCCTGCCTTCCCAGCACTGTTGGAATTGAGAATATATTTAATTTCTTATAAACTGCCAACATCTGTGAAAAATTGGGGATAAAACAATGTCATCTCTACCTAAGTACTGCAACTGACCACAGGAATTCAAGAAAACATGATACAGGAAAACGGTAGCTTTAGGGAGCTGCTGGAGTCACTGCATTGGTTTTAGTATACAATTTAATTCAATTCAATAAATGCACATCAAGACTGTCAGGCAAGTATTTTGCATTATGTAACATAAAAATGATGAAGACCTGGCTCTCATCATCCAGAGGCAAACCCTGGACATCCCAGAAGCAGGGGAGTAAGCAGCACTGTTAGTTAGCCATGCAAATCAAAGTTGTATAGGGTCAGAACTCAGAAAACACTGAACAGGATTGTTTTTAAACATCACAAAGTATTTACCAGCAGTTTCTGTTTTTAACCACAAAGACATATAAAGAGAAACAAATAAAAAAGGGTCCCTGGTGCCCCTTAAAATACATTCAATACATACTATGAAATGCATGGGGAATGACGCACTCCTTAACTGCACTCAATCTACAACTAATCCCAGGGCCAGACACACTGCCAGTTCTCACAGTGGCAATACCAGGGGCAGTTCAAAGTTCTAAAAGTTTGTGTTTTTTTTTTTTTTTTTTTTTTTTTTTTCATTTCAAATTTGGTGCTCCAGAGGAGAACATGCAATTACAAGACAAGGGTATTAGATTCAGTGTCTGGAAATCAAAGAGTTGTGCTATGACAACCATTTATTGTGATGAATACCAAAAAGAAAATGAAGATATAAAAGGTGTGACACTCTCTAAACTGCTTATTTCTAATGGATATTCTAATACAGATTTCTAAAGGACAGCTTAAACACAAGATATGATACAAAGTTTACTAGGACTTGAGGACAGAAACAAACAAAAAAAAAAACCAGCCCACCTACATACCTACCTACCAACACTCTCAGGCCTCGGGGTCTGCTTCACTTCCCTTGTACTAGGGGACCCTGCAGGTGATAAAGAGGGCTCACAGGTGGGCCCCGTGTGAGGATGGAGATGTTCTCTTGCAACCCCCACAGGAAAAACTTGTGATGAAAGTTGGACAAATCTATCCACAGGTTCTGGTAATTCACAGCCTATTCCACCTTCGGCTGTCAATCACATTGTCACAGAATGTTAGTATCACTATTAGAACAGAATCAGAGAGGCCCAGGAGGCGGTTGCAATGATCAGTTCTCAATGTCGCAGCAAACAAAACATGCGATACTTACCGTGCGACCATTTTGCCGAAGAGCGTGACATAAAGGGCATTGCAGGTTGTAGCCGAACGACAGTGTCGTTCCAGCTGCTTCTCCTGCACACAAATGCAAAAAGCCACTATGGCGTGACTACCAAGTCAGCCATAAACATTCCAGCAGAAACAACACTGCTCCCGCCATCTTACTAGTGCCACCACACAAAGCAGCCACGGCTCTGCAGCTACCACAGCCTTCCTACTGCAGACACACGCAGTCCCACTCCAAATGTCCTGCCTGATGCTACACTGTAAACTGAGACCCCCAATCTGTTATTGCTTCTTTATGTGGTGTCAGATTACAAGAGAATGCATTTATCAAATAACAGAACTCCAATGTTGAATTGTAAGCCTCATAAGTTGTTTTATAGGAAGTTACGGAGTGAAAGAGTTAAAACCACCTTACCTGCTCTTTATTCAATTTAATGTCTACAGAGTGGCATTCTGCAATTATAATAGATTTTGCATCTTTTGGATTTAAAGGATCAAGATGAAGTGTTGGCCACAACCTTTCATGGAAAGAAAAGAAAAATGAAGTTCTAACAATATATTAAGAATCGTAATCTACCCACAAGTTAAAACCCATCACAGGACTGAACATCTTTTAATAACTGCCTTTATAAAATAAGTAAAAATTAATGTGTTAATTATACTAATCATTTATTTCATTCAATCTAATGCAAATTATTTTCAGAAATCAATTCACAACAAAGTGTGAACAGCATATGCATTACTCAGTTCCTTTGTGTTCTATACTATTAGTAAAACTGCACGCAGGTGTAGTGCCTATGAAGCACGGTACAAGACACAGGCTTGGCCCCCAATGATTACTACAATGCTTTCTTCACAGAAGAGTGAAAACGGTTTCTCAGGAGAGTGATAAAATACATAAAGCACATATACACATATCTGTTTATATGCCCAGTAAAATTCCTCAGGAGGAAGGAGTAGAAGAAAATGTTTAAAAAGCCTCCTTACAGGGGCAAAACCAGTTGAGAGACACTGCCCTCCGGGTGGAACCACCACCCTGCTTTTGTGGGGACTGGTAAAAGGACCATGCATTCCAAGATAACCTGTGTCTAGTCTATTTCTTCTCAGCTCAGCCAGCTCCCTACTTCGCTCACTCCAATCTGACTGCCCACTAGACTGCGTTACTTGCAGCCACCTCAAATTAATGATGCCCCAAAACTCACTTCCCTTCCCCCACCCCACCATGCCTGCCTTTGTGTTTCTTACTTCAGTTCAAGAAACCATAATTTCCTTAATTTCTTCAAGCTGGAAACTCAGGCAACCTTCCAGCTTTCTCCTTTTCCTGCATATCCCAGAGCTAACCTCGCACCAAATCCTACAGGCTGCATCTCGTTCTTGAGTTGGTCCCCATCTCCCGACCCTCCCTGCCACTTCCTTGAAAAACACAGCAACATATCAAAAGCCTTTCCTCATCTGCACTTGAATCATTTCCGAAATCTGAAAGAAGGAAAGCTGGTGTCATACCTCCATGCTGGAGGGCAGGTTTCTACATTCACAGAAACAATTACTCTCACATTCACTGGCAGAGGATCTATCAGCCATTTCATGTGTTTTTCAACTTGCTTAAAAATATAAAAACAAAATTCAATCTATTAATCAAAGTATTTCAAAACGACCCAAGAATAGCTCCCCAAATAAAATGAAATTCTCATGATGTATCTTTTATTAAGGGCTAACATCTCATTTTTGGATGACTTATCTTGTAATTTTAAGAATTTTAAGAACAAGTGGTAAGACATTATAATCAGATTTGAATTCTTGACAGTTACAGCAATTTGAAGGCCCCCAAAATACTTCAAAACAAAGTGTTTGCTAATTGCGTAAATTCAGTTTGTCTTTCCCCATAAGGTATGTGTGTCTGCTGGCATAAGGTACATTCTTTAAAATCTGCTGTGTCTTCCCTGAAAATTAAGTGGAAACAAAAGAAACACCACCAATTTCCTCTCGTAAACATGTCATTTAACCGCCCGCCAGAGCCACTATTGATAATGCTGTCTCTTTGTCAGGTGTCAATAGGTTAAAAGTCAATACCTGAACTTGATCTATAGAATCAATGATGATGATGATGCTGCCTTGATGACGAGCAGAGAGTTTTTCTAACCAACGTGGGAATTCTTCCAGAAGCTTAGCAGGATCCAGCGTAATCGCAGATACTGACCAAGAGTGCTGCATCAACTACAAGATGTGAATGTGTAACTGAAGTCGTCACATTTTATCACAGCTTGTGGGAAGTGCTTCCATCCCTACTTTCCACACTAAAACTGAGTCACCAAGAAGACTGAGTGTACCAGGTATTAATTTCCATCTTCTGGAAAACCCAAACAAGTGGGTAATACTGACAACTGGTTTATCCCAACAATTTCTGAATCTACATAATCTCCAGAGAATCCCAAAAGATGGCGTACTACACCTTCAGAGTGAGTCGTTTAATAATCAAGGAAGATTCTGCGCTGGTGGACATGGGCCTCCCCACAAAATGAGACAGGATCAGTGTGGTAGGGGAATTCTTCTGTTGTAACTGAATCCTGAAAGAGAAGGGCAGGAATCTTACAAAGCCAAGGAAACGCCTTTCTGTCAACAGCAAAAAAATTCAGTCTCTCCTAAACAGCACTCTGGCCTCAGAATCAGCCCTGAAGTCATTCCGATCTGGCTGAAAAGCCCATGAGAGTATTTCAGGCATGGAAAGCCAAGACACTCTGGCAAAAACAAAAACAAAAACAACTTGGGCCCCTGCACCCAAGTGGGAGACCTGGACCAGCCCTGGCCATGTGGCCATTTGGGGAGTGGAGTAAACAGTGAACCAGCAGATGAAAGATATCTCTCTCTCTCTCTCTCGACTCTCCCTAACTCTGCTTTTCGAATAAAATAAATCTTACAAAAAATTTTCTACACATAATTGTAAATAAAAGGGCAATAAAAAGGAAGCTATCTATGCTAACTCCTCAATGTAAATAATTATGAAAATATTGTCTTATTTTTAAAAAATACAACAAAAAAGTGTATTAGCTTATATGAACCTTAGTCCATTATTTAAAGACTAGATTACATTCACAGTGAATGTAATCCTTAATTTTGATGTGCTTTTGTTTTGTTCCAAATATTTAAAATCCCAATATAATTTTAAGATGAAGCCAAATAATGAAATAAAGGCACATCCCTCTAAACTCCATCTAGTGCAGTTCCACACTAGCCACCCCCTTACTTAGCCCTCCCACAGCCCTATGGGATGTTTGTATATAATCGTGAATGCTCGTACTACCTGATCCTTTCTCTCTCTGCATCTTGTAACACTCTAAAATTCTACACACTTCAGGGCATGCGCCTATCATTTTATTTCTCCATACTTTTTTTAATGTCTAGTACAGGCCATGCAGGAAGGTGGACAACCAATACATTTTGCTGAGTGACTTTAGGAATTCAACAAATATGACAAGAATGACTGAACTGCACCGCATCATACATACCACTTTGATAAAAGAAGGGACTTTCCAGAACCAGGGCCTCCAGACACCAGAAGGGGTGGGATTGGGGCTGGTGCTGCCACTAAATCATTAAGGCGTTGGTAATACTAAAAATAAAAATGAATTTGAATTGTGAGGAAACACATGCCTCTAAGAATACTACTAAAGAGAATCAACTTCCGCTTAAACTCTAAAAACACTAGAGAAAAGCTGCATGAGAAAAACGAACCCACTTTCGGTCCACGGCAGCTTCATGACTGCTACTTCTATGGTTGGTGACATAGGCCTGAAGCAGTCGACTAAGAATGGGCCCCCATTTCTTCTACACCCTGTACTGCTGGAAATGGATGGTACTGGACAGCCGCTCCAACAGATGCCCTGGGGTCTGAACATTCAGACGTTCAGCAGGATGCTGCCGGGAGGGCTCCGACTCCACAGAAGGCCTCAAGGGTTCCGGCAGGCAGCCTCAAAATCCTGCCAGCAGAAGGGTCTTTGGCCTTAGAGACCACCTCAGTTTCCAGGGATTGCTGAGAACAGTTCTCAACAAGAACAGGTTGCCACTGGGGCTGTGGCTCTTCCAACCCGCCCCATAGGATCAGCTTAGGACAGGCTGCCTGAGGTCTTTCTGAAATCAAGTTAAGTTCTTTGTGAAGCCCAAGAACCCATATCTCCCGGGCTTTCTCCAGACACATAAAACTGGTTGAGATATGAAAATATACTCAGAAAATCAAAGTATCATAGCACTTATTGAAGAGTCTCCCAAGGAATCTTGACAGCTGGGATGTTTACCAAGTGCGCCAGTGGTCTGAACAACAGCTAGTAAGGCAGTAAAACGAAACTCATAACAGGCAGTTTGCGGAGAGCTTTAGGGTGGTAAAATTCTCCAGCAACTACAATAAATGATTACTTGGAATAGGTTTTCAATTTGTTTTCTTCTTATATCTGAACACAGAATATTTTCCCAAAGAACTCAAAGATGCTTCTAGAGGAACAAGGGATGGGCTTTAATGATTTATGACCTCCTAAATCCTAACAACTAATCATGGCCCCCACACAAAGCCCACTTACAGAACCATGGCTTCCAAGACCCCTTGCTCAGAAGACAAAGCACAGGATTTGGAGCCGGAGGACAAAGGTTCAAGTCTCAGATTTGCAACCTACTGTTTGGGCACAAGTAAACCATAACCTGAAACACATCTTCTTCTTTTATAAAATAACAACATCTCTCTTAAAATAATGACTAATTTACCATATACCAGGTACTATATCAAATCATTATCTGGTTTAGTTCTTCTAAGAACTTTATGAGGTAGATATTAATATTCTCATTTTATAGACAAGGAAATCAAAGTTTATAGTGGTCAAGTAACTTCATCAAAGTCCAATTAGAAAATGTCAGAATCAGTACACATGGTCTAAATCATAAATGTTCTATTAAAACACTACTAATGTTAGCCCCAGTACTATTTTTCAATTGATTTTTTAAGATTATTTATTTGAGTTACACAGAGAGGCAGAGGGAAAGAGAGAGAGAGAGAGAGAGAAACAGAGAGGTCTTCCATCTGCTGGTTCACTCCCCAAATGGTCTCAATGGCTAGAGCTGCGCCAATCCAAAGCCAGGAGCCAGGAGCTTCTTCCCAGTCTCTCATGTGGATACAGGGGCTCAAAGACTTGGGCCATCTTCCACTGCTTTCCCAGGCCAAAGCAGAGAGTTGAGTTGGAAGTTGAGCAGCCAGGACTCAAACCCACGCCCATATGGGATGCTGGCACTGCAGGTAGCGGCTTTACCTGCTACACCACAGTGCTGGCCCCCCACAGTACTATTCTTTAAAATACTGGTTCTTACATTAATTTTTAAATAATATCAAGTTTTTTTAAAACTTAAATTTCTTTCTATACTTCAAGTTCTGCTAATTTGTCTAGATATTTAAAATGCCGATGGGATCAATAAAGAACTGATCCAGCTATTGCACAAACTGTGCTTTGTTTTCTTCATGTTTGACATTTTTACTCTGTTAAGAACTGGAAAAACAGGGGCCAACACTGTGGCATAGCAGGTGAAGCCACCACTTGCAGTGCCAGCATCCCAGGTGGGCACCAGTTCGAGTCCCGGCTGTTCCACTTCCAATTCAGCTCTCTGCTGTGGCCTGGGAAAGCAGTAGAAGATGGCCCAAGTCCTTAAGCCTTTGCACCCACATGGGAGATCCAGAAGAAGCTCCTGGCTCCTAACTTCAGATCAGCCCAACTCTGGCCACAGCGGCCAATAGGGGAGTGAGCCAGCAGATGGAGGACCTCTCTCTCTCTGCCTCGCCTTCTCTCTCTGTGTAACAATGACTTTCAAATAAATAAATAAATCTTTAAAAAAAAAAAAAAGAATTGGAAGAACAGAAAGCCTTAGCAAGTCACCAAGCTATCCCAATCCTTCAGAGCAAGCCACAGATGATGGCAAAATAAACATATAGTTGAAAAATCCCAAATTGTAACTAAAAATCTCAAAACAGCACTAAAAATGTCAGAAGAACATTTGAATCTCACATGTTTCATACAATACAAACCTAAGCACATGTCAACACGGATCACCAAGCTACGAGAGCAGACAGTAACACAATTATAAACCTGGTAAAGATAGAATCATGACACAGTCTTTGGGTAGTGACTCATCTTTACTGCAGCAATGCTCCAAACGCTTACTTTCTCAAATCCCAACTCGTGGGCAGAATTAGAAGCTTGCTGGAAGGCTTCCATTTGTTCTTGCTCATCATGTATGTCCCACAGAACATCACCAAAGTCGTCTTTTTCTGGAATGGACTCTTCATTGCCCAAATCCTTACACTCCAGGTCTGTGTTCTCAAGGCCTAAGATGTCCTGAATGCAAGAGCAAACATGTGAATGAACAGAAAGACCTTGTAGCTGGGCTTGGCACACAGGCTCTGTGTGCGCCTACTGTTATACCTACAAGAACGAGTCAATAAGCACAAAAACAAACACTAATTTACAAGGAAAAAAATTAATGAAAACAAAGATATCTGTTTATTAAAAATAGTTAGAGGTATTTGACTCCCACAGGATTTGTTCCCTGAGAAATATTACGCAGTATCTTTAGTTAAATCTGGCTGACAATAGTTTTAAAGGTTTGTTAAGGCCTTAGAAACACACTACAGTGTAGGAATTTACTAAAACAGGGATTCTTGATATCAAGCATCTTTGCAGTCACATCTAGGCTTCACATTTGATCCTGAAAATATGTTGTTCTTCAAGCGTCAACAATGGTTCATATGTTCACTTTCACTTGCTGCCCTTCTTTCTACTAAATTATTTATCTTGGTCTTAAAATTCAAAGATTGTTAAGATCAAAATTGATAACAACCACCTCTACACTAGACAGAACTCGTAGCACTATGTTTTGGGCTCACTTTTTTTTCTCCAAGAATAAGCCTCCATGTATTTTATGCAAGTTCATCAGGAAAAGTAATCACCTCCTTCACTCCTCATCCACAGAGGGTCTCTGGTTCCTGGGGGGAAGTGTCAGGTGGTAGAGGCAACATAGGCCAACCCCAATACATCTTCCTACTGTGCTCATGTTACTTAAAGATGGAGGCGCCATTTTTCTTTTTAGCATTATCACATTTTTGCTGATACATACTTTTCAATGAGTTTTTATATTAAGACCAAATACATCATACTCTCAAGTAGAATATATACCCCACATATATTCTAAAGATAAAACATGAGGCCTCCGAGAGACTTCCAGCTCTACACCCTTCCCGGCCCAGGTCTTCATCCTGCTGGATGCGTTCCACCCTCTGTGCTACTAGGAATGACGTGGGTGGAAAATGTAAGCACTTTTCTAACATCTGAGAATCCAGAGCACACACAGAATCTGAGGAGCCTTTGATCGAGGAAAGCAAATATTCTCCCCAAACGCTTATTTTTTAACGAGTAGCTGTGTAACACATCTTAAACCTAGAAGCCACTGAAGGACCACAGTGTCCTTGAGACAGACGGGCAAGAAAGACACACTGTGGCACAGGACGGGCTCCCACCACAACAACCAGGCTTTCCAAGAAACAAGCCAGTGATTTTCTCCAGAAAACCCTCAACTTTATAGAAAACAATCTTAAACTGCTTTTGGGAGAATGGACATTTTGATGATATTGATTCTTCCAATCCATGAGCGTGGAAGATTTTTCCATTTTTTGGTATCCTCTTCTAGTTCTTTCTTTAAGATTTTGTAATTCTCATCGCAGAGATCTTTAACGTCCTTGGTTAAGTTTATTCCAAGGTATTTGATTGTTTTTGTAGCTATTGTGAATGGGATCTTAGAAGTTCTTTCTCAGCCGTGGCATTGCCTGTGCATACAAAGGCTGTTGATTTTTGTGCACTGATTTTATATCCTGCTACTTTGGAAGCACAGGAGACCTCGAATAGCTAAAGCAATCTTGTACAATAAAAACAAAGCCGGAGGCATCACAAGACCAGATTTCAGGACATACTACAGGGCAGTAGAGTTCTTTGGATCCCCTAAGTAAAGAATCATATCATCTGCAAAGATTTTCCTCAGAAACCTAAATATAACCCTACCATACAACCCAGCCATCCCACTCCTTGGAATTTACCCAAAGGAAATTAAACAAACAAATAAAAGAGCTGTCTGCACCTTAATGTTTACTGCAGCTCAATTCACAATAGCTAAGACATGGAATCAACCTAAATGCCCATCGACAGTAGACTGGATAAAGAAATTATGGGGGCCGGCGCCGCGGCTCACTAGGCTAATCCTCCGCCTTGCGGCGCCGGCACACCAGGTTCTAGTCCCAGTTGGGGCACCGGATTCTGTCCTGGTTGCCCCTCTTCCAGGCCAGCTCTCTGCTGTGGCCAGGGAGTGCAGTGGAGGATGGCCCAGGTGCTTGGGCCCTGCACCCCATGGGAGACCAGGAAAAGCACCTGGCTCCTGGCCCCTGCCATCGGATCAGCGCGGTGCGCTGGCCGCAGCGCGCCGGCCGCGGCGGCCATTGGAGGGTGAACCAATGGCAAAGGAAGACCTTTCTCTCTGTCTCTCTCTCTCACTGTCCACTCTGCCTGTCAAAAATTTAAAAATAAATAAATAAATAAATAAATAAAAGAAATTATGGGACATGCCTCTATAGAATACTATACAGCAATTAAAAAAAAAAAAAAAACAATGAAATCCGGTCATTTGCAACAAAATGGAGGAATCTGGAAAACATCATGCTGAGTGAAATAAGCCAGTCTCAGAGGGACAAATATATGTTCTCCCTGGCAACTAGCCAAACACCAAAAAGGAAACCTGTTGAAGTCAAATGGACACTATGAGAAACAATGACTGGATAGCCCTTGTCCTGATTGTCAAGGAACAACTTAATACTTTATCCTTTTTAGTATTTTTTTTTTGTTCTACTTAATACTATTGGTTGAACTCTTCAATTAACACACAATTATTCTTAGGTGTTTAAATTTAACTGAAAAGTGTTCTCTGTTAAATATAAGAGTGGGAATAAGAGAGGGAGGAGATGTACAGTTTGGGACATGCTCAATCGGACTTGCCCTGAACATCAGAGTTAGAAACGTGCCAGGGGATTCAAATTCAATCCCATCAAGGTGGCATGTACCAATGCCATCTCACTAGTCCAAGTGATCAGTTTCAGTTCATAATTGATCATAATGATAGGATTTAAAAGTCAAAGAGATCACATAAACAAGACTAGTGTCTGCTAATACTAACTGAGAGAATTAAAAAGGAGAGAAGGATCTAACATGGGAAGTGGGATACACAGCAGACTCATAGAATGGCAGATGTCCTAAACAGCACTCTGGCCTCAGAATCAGCCCTTAAGGCATGCAGATCTGGCTAAAAAGCCCATGAGAGTATTTTAGCCATGGAAAGCAAGACACTCTGGCAAAAAAAAAAAACACTAAATGAAAGATCTCTGTGAGTGACATCCCAGCAGAAAGAACAGGCAACAGGCCATCAAAGAAGGAGGTACCTTTCTCTGAAGGGAGGAGAGAACTTCCACTTTGACTATGACTTTGTCTAAATAAGATCGGAGTTGGTGAACTCAAAAGGCCTCCATAGCCTTAGCAACTCATGACAAGAGCCTAGGGTGATTACTCACACCATAAACAAGAGTGTCAATTATTAAATAAACAGGAGTCACTGTGCACTTACTCCCCATGTAAGATCTCTGTCTTTAATGTGTTGTACTATGTGAATCAACGGTATAACTAGTAATCAAAGAGTACTTTACACTTTGTATTTCTGTGTGGGTGCAAACTGTTGAAATCTTTACTTAATATATACTAAATTGATCTTCTGTATATAAAGATAATTGAAAATGAATCTTGATGTGAATGGAATGGGAGAGGGAGCAGGAGATGGGAGGGTTGTGTGTGGGAGGGAAGTTATGGGGGTGGGGGGAAGCCACTGTAATCCAAAAGCTGTACTTCAGAAATTTATATTTTTAAATAAAAGTTAAAAAAAAGAAAAGAAACAATCTTAAAAATACTTCAGATGAGATCATAACCAGGAATTCACACGTACCTGTTTAATAATCTTTTCCACACAAATATAAGTTTTATATACTCCATCTGCAGGATCCCCCACATGATCAATGATCTAGGAGTTAACAAAAAAGAAGTTTAGCAATGACAAAAACAGCAGCAGCAGCAGCAGGAGATACTGGTGAACACTTCGAGTATGTGTCAGGACTTACTGGTCTAAGTGCTTTAATTAGCTCATAGATCCACACAACCACCTCACGAGGGACAAACTGTTATCACCCCCATTTCATAGAAGAAAGCGAGACACATAATCTGTCCAAGGTCACATGAAGATTTAGATGCAACAAAACCAAAAGTTTATGGTTTTTGCTGTTTGTATCCAAATTTTGTCTCATATATTTCCATACCACTCAACAGACATACCTTAAAAAGGATGAAAATCGATTTTTAAAATTAATTTACCTATTTATTTGAGAGGTAGATAGAAACAGAACTTCATATGCTGGTTAATTCCCAAATACCTGCAACAGCTGGTGCTGGGCCAGGTCAAAGTTGGGAATCAGGAACCCAATCCAGGTCTCCCAAGTGGGTGGCAGGAACCTAACTATTTGAGCCATCACCTGCTGCCTCCTAGGGTGCACTTTAGAACAAAGCTAGAATTGCAAGCAGAGCCAGGACTCAAACCTAGGCACTCCGATATGGAGGCATCCTAAGTGGCAGCTTACCTGCTAAGCCAAAGGCCTGCTCCCATTTCCCAAAATAATTCTTATGTTAGTAAACAAAGAAAGCAAAATGTCATTTGGCTATATAAAACAACAGTCCTGAGTTTGCTAAAAGAATGCCCTTGAGGCAGGCATTGTGGTGCAGCAAAGTACGCCACCGCTTGGGATGCCCATGTCATACATCAGAGTGCCTGGAACTGAGTCCTGCCCCTGCTTCCAATTCAGCTCCCCGCTAATGCACCTGGGAGGCAGCAGATGATGGCCCACGTAGTTGGGTCCCTGCCACCCATGTGGGAGACCTGAATGGAGTTCAACCTGGTCTAGCCCTGGGTGTTGCAGGCACTTGGGAAGTACACCAGCAGATGAAGACAACTCTCTCTCTCTCTCCTCTCATCACTCTGCTTTTCAAATAAATAAAACTTAAGAATCCTCTATCTGTAAAGAATATGTATATTATTAATAAGTAGTTAATATTTGATAAAATTAGAAAAAGCAAATGATTTCAAAAAGCATGTCAAATAACCAGAATGAAAATTTATCTTATACTTTAAATCATAGTAGGCAGCTTACTTTACTCCTATTTTTATAAAATAAATTCATTTTTCTGGTGTATTATTTCTTTTAAAGATTCACTTATTTATTTGAAAGGCAGAGTTAGAGAGGAAGAGAGTCTTCCACCTTCAGGTTCACTCCCCAGATAGCCTCAATGGCTGGGGCTGGGGCTGGGCCAGGCCAAAGCTAGGAGCTGGGGCTTCTTTTGGGTCTCCCACATTGGCAGCAGGGGCCCAAGCACTTGGGCCATCCTCGGATACTTTTCCAGGCACATTAACAGGGAGCTGGATAAGAAGCAGAGTAGCTCTTGAATCGGTGCCCATAAGGGATGCCAGTGTAGCAGGTGGAAGCTTAACTTGCTATGCCACAATGCTGGCCCCTAGAGTGATAATTTTTTAAAGTACTATTTATAGAATAAAGAAAAGAAAGATGAATTTATCTTCTCTTGTGGAATCTAATGTACCAGGATGATATTAATAAAAAAAAAAGAAATGGCATTGAAAATCATAAAAATGAATTTTATTTCATACTCTTTAATACGTCATGCTGATTTCAACCTACCTTTTCAATACTAAAAGATATAAAGGAAAATGTTTGTATTCATATTTGATTTTTGTTCCTGGTTAGGCACAGAGAAATAACTTTGTCAAGAATCTAGACAGGGTTGGGGCTGGCACTGTGGCACAGTGGGTTAAAGCCCTGGCCTGAAGTGTTAGCATCCTATATGGATGCCAGTTCTAATCCCGGCTGCTCCACTTCCAATCCAGCTCTCTGCTATGGCCTAGGAAGCAGTAGAAGATGGTCCAAGTCCTTGGGCCCCTACACCTGCTTGGGAGACATGGAAGAAGCTCTTGGCTCCTGGCTTCAGAATGGTGCAGCTTCTGCAACCATCTAGGGAGTGAACCAGCAGATGGAAGACTTCTCTTTCTGTCTCTACCTCTCTCTGTAACTCTGTCTTTCAAATAAATAAAATAAATCTTTAAAAAAAAAAAAAAGAATCTAGAAAGGGGATGGCACTGTGGTGTAGCAGATTATGCCACAGCCTACAATGCTAGCTTCCCATATGAGTACCTGTTCAAGTCATGGGTGTTTCACTTCTGATCTAGCTTCCTCCTAATGTGCCTGGGAAAAGCAGTGGAAGATGGCCCAAGCATTTGGGCCTCTGCACCATATAGAAGACCTGGAAAAAACTCCTGCCTTCAGCCTGGCCCAGTTCTGGCTATTGTAGCCATTTGGGAAATGAACCATAGATCGAAGACCTTTCTGCTTTCTGTCTCTCCCTCTAACTCTGTCTCTTTTTTTTTTTTTTTTTTTTTTAAGATTTATTTATTTCCTTGAAAGTCAGAGTTACATAGAGAGAGGAGAGGCAGAGAGCACGAGAGAGAGGTCCTCCATCCAATGGTTCACCCTCCAATTGGCCACAACGGCTGGAGCTGTGCCAATCCGAAGCCAGGAGCCAGGAGCTTCTTCTGGGTTTCCCACATGGGTGCAGAGGCCCAAGGACTTGGGCCATCTTCTACTGCTTTCCCAGGCCATAACAGAGAGCTGGATTGGAAGTGGAGCAGCCAGGTCTTGAACTGGTTTCCATATGGGATGCCAGCACTTCAGGCCAGGGCATCAACCCTCTGCGCCACAGCGCCAGCCCCATCTCATCTGTCTTTCAATTAAATAAATAAATCTTCAAAAAAAAAAAAAAAAACCCTAGACAGGGGCAGGCATTGTGGCATAGTGGGTTAAGCTGCTGCCTGTGATGTTAGCATCCTACATGGGAGAGGCAAATGAAGCTCCTGACTTCGTCCTGGTTCAGCCCTAGTAGCAGTGGCTTTTCAGGGAGTGAAATCAGCAGATAGAAGATCTCTCCTATCTCTCTTTCTCTGTAATTCTTTCAAATAAATAAAACTTAACAAAAAAAACACACCCTAGACAAAGGCCTGTTTTCAATTGTATCCTTCATATTAACTCTAAAAGTTTACCAAGTTATTTGAGAATATAGTAACAGAAAGTATGCAATCTCTATTTGCATCTAAGAATGACCCAATTTCTCTTATACCATCATCAGCTTTTGGCTTTTTCCAATTCTCTTAGGAAAGTCACTATAAGAAAATCGTACACTAACTCTTGGTCAGGTGATAAGGGCTTAGAAGAAAAGCCCTAAGAATCTAATTTGTTCATTCACAGATCACATTCCTGCTGTCTCACAGCCCACAACCAACCTGTTAGGAAATCCTGGTGGCTCTATTTCAATTTATCCTGGACTCCATCATTTCCTGACACCTCCCCTAGCATCCGACTCACCCAAGTCACCACATCTCTCACCTGGATGCTGGCAGCAGTTCTCAGACTCTGCCCAGCACCTTCCAAGCTACTGCCCATTCTCACACAGTGGCCTGAGAACCTTCCTGCTGCGGGATCACATCGGGTCCTATCACTCCTCTGCTTCAAGACCTCCAGTGGCTCCCCACCTCAGGATGGACCTAGGGTGCCTCTCCTGTACCCCACTCCTTCTGCTGCAGCTGTGATGGCTTCCCTCCCCTCCCAAACACACCAGGCTCCAGCCCACTCCTCACAGCCTTTGTTCTAGCTCTTCCCTCTGCCAGGCATGCTCTAAAAAACATCCTATGAGCTTTACCTTGGCTTTGCTGGTCTTTAGGTTGGAAACTTGATCAAGCAATTGTTGCACAGAGTCAGAACTGACTTCCCCCTCTTCCAAATGATGATAAATTAATCGTGGTTTTCCTTCAGGGTTTTTCAGAAAAGCTTCTTCACAGTCTTCCAATAAAAGGCTAGATTGGAAATTAGCATTTCTTGTGTTACTCTGCAGCAAACAACCAACCCAAGCGCCAACAATGGGTCTCACTACAGTGTGACAAGTGGTCAGAAAAGGCTCCCTCGCAGAACTAGTGAAACTTTCCAAAACTTGGTATTTTTATACCTGTTTTAGCTTGATCTTAAAATACATGGTGTTCATCAGCTGACAGAGTCAGTATATGAAATTATGCATTACACTGTAAAGTACATATACCTTATAAACATAGCTCAAAATAATGGATCAGACTCATGAGACTACATAAATAAAAAACAAAATTTTATTTACAGATCTAAAATTCAAACACAGGTATTATTAGCCCCAAGGTTTCAAGATTTTTCTTGTCTCTCATCTTTCAGCTTTTTCTCATCTAATCAATGACCCAAAGCCTTATACCCAATACTTCTTTTAAGAAGTATCTGGGGGTTAGATGGCAAGTAAAAACCTTGACTGAGGCTAAAGTTTAAAAAAAATTAAATTTGCTACAGGAAATCATTATCTCTTTACAAAAGTTCTAGAACAATCTTAGACTAATCCATTGGGGTTTTCTACATCAGAAAGAACATTGCAACCAATCCTTTTCTAGGAAGTATTAAATTGAAATTGTCAGAGAGGCAAATTGGGGAATGATTGTGTATGTGCTGGGTATAATGGGGAGCTTACACAATTCAGAATTCACAAATCAAAGTACTACCCCAAATAAAAATCAGAAGAAGTAATGCTTTTAATTTTTTACATATTTCTGCACTAATTCAATCTCTCCAAACCACAGTTTTCCATTTTTAAATTATTCTGAGCATGCTGTATAGACTTCTAGAATTCTAATGGTTCATTTGTTAATTGCTTGGGGAGAAGTATGTGGCCTACATGAACACAAAGAATGGGCCTTCTGTCCAGCCACATGCTCAGATTTCAGAATCATTCCTAACAAAACTGACTCCCAGGACTCGAATGAAATATGCTCTCTAGGACTTGATTCAAATAATGTTGTGGAAGAGAAGTAGATAGGAGAGATGAAACAAACTGCTGAAGTCGCTAGTAAGGAAAGCCAGCTCACATGCTAATCTGCACTTCAGGATGCAGTCAGCTGTGACCAGAGGAGACAGAGCACAGGGGAGGAGTGATCACTACACCTGGAGGCTGATGAGCAATGAAGAAAGTTCACTCACAGAACAAGCAAGAGCTTCCGCGTAAGCAAATTCTTTAAGGTATTTTGTAAGAGAGTTAGTTAAAAAGAACTGAAGGAAGCCAGGAAAAGGTCCTACGATGTCCTAAAAGACACAATTACCCTTTGGGCACTGAACTCCTTTCCCTTGAGAAAGACTGGTGTCACTCTGAAGAAAACCATCCGTCAGCCCTCTGTGCAACCAGGACCTGCACCTGCTCTCCAGAGGCAGGGCAGCCTTCCTTCTACTCAGGGTCAAGCATGCTCAGTGAGCCTGCCTTGCCCAACTAGGGCATTGACAATGAAGGAGGCCCAGTCATGAGCAAAGAACAGCCCATTTTGAAACCTTCACTCGGCCAACCTCTGCTGGACTCTGTATTTCGGCCCTCATCCTTTATTGTAAGAGGTTTCTCCTATGATTCTGCCGTGAAGGGAAACAGGTTAAATTAAATCCACTGAAGACAACTACTTGGACAAGCAGTGTCAGAGGCCTGAGGGCCTTCCCTGTGCAATGAATGACAACCAAGAAGCACAGTGCCCGTGTTCCTCACTAAGCACCACCTCTTCCTGCCTACTCTCCGCTCCTATAGCTAAGTCATTTCACATTCTAAAGACGGTGGGGATTTTTGGGTTTGATTTTTTTTTTTTTTTGTATGTAGGTCTACTTGGCAGGAGAAGCCTCAAGTACACAGATAGTAGCTATAGACTTAGATTTAGTGGAATCCTATTTTTTTTTTTTATTTGAAAGGCAGAGAGATAGAGGGATCCTCCATCCATCCATTGGTTCAGTCCCCAAATGCCTACAACAGTCAGGATTAGGCCAGGCTGAAACCAGGAGCCCAGAACTCAGTTTGGATGTTCCATATGGGTGGTGGAGACTCAAGCACTTGAATCATCACCTGCTGCCTCCCAAGGTGCACATTAGCAGGAAGTCAAATCAGAAACAGAGCCAGGTCTCAAACCCAGACACTCCAATATGGGGTGCAGACACTCCAAGCTGTGTTTTAATGGTTACATCAAACAGCCAGACCAAAACCATGAATTTTTAAAGACAGAACTTCTTCTGGGATGACTGCATGGTATGAGAAACCTGTGAACAGTACAATCTGCACACAAGGATTGATTACTGATCAGAAAAGTATTTTCTAGGGCCAGCATTGTGGTACGGTGGGTGAAGCTGCTGCCTGTGATGCCAACATACCATATGGGTGCCAGTTTATGTCCCAGCTGCTCCACTTCCGATCCAGCTCCCTGCTAATGTGCCTAGGAAAGCAGCAGAAGATGGCCCAAGTGCTTGGGCCAGTCACCTACTGGAGACCCTGATGAAGCTCCTAGCTTCAACCTGGCCCAGCCTGGTTGCTGTGGCCACCTTGGGGAATGATCCAGCGAATAGATCTCTGTCTCCCCTTCTCACTGTAACTCTGCTTTTCAAATAAAATAAATAAATCTTATTTAAAAAAGTATTTCTGGGTAGAACCCCCACATTGTCCCAGGGAGATCTGGGGATCATTTAGAAGGATGGGAAACCAGCAGGGTGTAATTCAAGAGAGGAGAAACCTGAGATAGACAAAGGTTCCCTTTTTTGTAGTGTGAAGTCCATTCCTAGAGCCATGCTTGACAACCATGAAAGGAACAAATAATGAAATAAAATAAGCAAATGGAGTAAGAGAAAAAACAAGGCAAAATAAAGTCAAGGCAAAAGGCAAAAGCTAAGGTTAAATGTAAGACATTAAAATTTTTATTTTAAAATAGTTACAATTTTTTAAAATATGAAAGTTCTGTTAAAGGAGATATAATGAAATTAGTTAAGCAAAAGTAATAAAATATGAAAGGAACATGAAGGGAGAGAAAACATTAAGAGTTTAAATTTAGAAACAGATGATAAGAGTGAGAAAACATCTGGACAGTATTTAAACAAATTTAAGGAAGTGAAAAAATATGGCTTTAAGAATTAAAGCTATAAATTAAAGAAAAATAATGTAAAAACAAATGACATATTACAAGGTAACATCAAACACCATCCAAATGTTCAGGAATAAAACAAGATATAACCTAATAAACATAGAAACAGGGTGAGAAAAAGAAGAGGGTGGATAATAATGAAACCCAGCAATCCAGTTGAAGGACTCCTTAAGCATTCTGGGTGAGGCCCATTGACCAGGAAGTTCCCTGCCCTCCAGGCCACTGGGGCTCAGTCTCAAGGATCAATGGTAGGTTACACTGCAGGAAAACTCTGGTCAAACTTGAGCCCCAACACACTTCTGTATAAATTAATGTCAGAGCTGATCCACAATCAAAAAAAAAATGCTTTGAAAAGATTAATTTCAATCAGATGACAAATCTAAAAGGAAAGCTAACCTCTGATAAAAACTACTTTGTCTTTTATCTAGATATCTAACTGGTTAAAAAATATTTGTAGACAAAATTCATTAGCACAAATGTATTCACATTATAAGAAAACAGTTCACTTTACTGGGCTTTTTGAACTAGTAAGCTACTCAGAGCATTTAAATTATGATTCAACAACTATAGAAGTATTCAAGAACACATGTACCATTTAATGTTCACTTCTCTTAATCTGTGTCCAAAGAAAGAAAACAGTGAAGGTTAATGTTCATTATTAAAACCATATATCAGCAACTTTTTCGATAAAAGGTCATATAGTAAGTATTTCAGGCTTTGCTAGACATACGGGGTCTGTTATAACTATTCCACTTGGCTATTATAGAAGGAAGGCAGCCATAGAAAATACATAAATGAATGCATGTGTCTATATTCCAATAGACACTTGGCTAGATTTCGCCCTTAGGCTACAGTCTGCCAATCCATCCATGTTTAAAATAATCTTTACACTGATAATGTTAATTGTATGACCTATGAAACAAATCTTACAGCAAAAAAACAGAATTCAGATTGTTTTTGGTTATATTACAATTTAAACATCTTTGCAGTTCACTTTGCAATCTATTTTGTTTAAAGCCTAATGCCTATAACAAGCTACAGATTTTTTTCAGCTTACCTTGGTAACGTTACGTGAATGAATAAAATAACTAATGAACTCTTCTCAATTTCCCATTTTCTTACAGTGAGGAATTGATTTTCAACATCTACTGGGAAATAAACAGCATGGAAAAAATATCCCATTGTCTCACACATTCTTTTAAGTTTAGGTGAATAGACCTAAAAGCAAATTAGAATATATAAAAGTATAACATATTTAAGTAAAGATCTCATGAGCTAAAAACAAAGCATGCATCAAAACAGGTTATGCTGGATACTTTCCAATAAAAAATTAAAAGATAATGATGTAATCACTTTTTAATGAACATCTTAAAAAAGACAAATTCCTCTCCAAAGCAAAAATAATAGCTTAACTTTGGCTATTTTCTAGCCTAGAAAATTATTTACTTCATAGTAAACCTAAAATAGGATATCCTGTAGATCTGCATATAAAAAGCTTCATGACATATTAGAACACTGAAGCAAACACAAGGTACAAACATGTTGGTTTATAATAAATAGTTACTAAGTAGTGATTACTACACTTAGGCAAGAAATCTGTGATGTTCTCAAAATGATCTCATCTCAGAAATAACTTACATTCAATTACTGAACTGAATTGGAAGCTTTGGGATTTAAAATCTTAGATTTAAAGATTTAAAATCTTTTTACCAAACTAAGTAATATCACAAAGGATTGCTAAATGAATGTATTACAAATCAGCAGTCTGGAGAATATTAATATAGCAGATATTGCACGTCACATGTAGATTTATTTAAAATTCACTGGGAAAAGTAATAAGCCAACTTTTTTTTAAAGGGTCACATGGCAAGAAAGTTTACAAAAATAACAATGCTTAACCACTTGGCTGCCTTAGCAAGGGTCTTTGTAGTATGATGGTTCATGCAACAACCTGATCTGCCCTTAAAGTGTCAAAGCAGTGCAGCTATAGATAATATGTAAGTGAATACGCTGACAGTGTCTTAACGCAACCTTACTAACACATTAAAATCTGGATTTTATGTAACTTTCACATGTCACAAAGTAGTATTCTTGACATTTTTCCCCAGCCATTTAAAATGTGAAAATTAATCTTAGCTCTGAACCATACAAAGACAGCACACCAGAGTTGGCCAGCAGGCTAGAATTCACTCCCCTGCCTTACTACAACTCCAGTCACCACCAAAAATCAAAGCCCATGACAAAGATTTTATTTTGTTTTTACCTGCAACAGTACTGGAAGGTAGTAACAATATTATCTAAAGTATGACCAATGAGGGTTTTAAACATTGTGAAGAATATTCAAGAAAATACTAAAAAAAAAAAAAAAAAACCTCTAACATATTAATTTGATGTTCAAAACTACAATGAGTAAGAAACTTTTTAAGATTTATTTTACTTATTTTGAAAATCAGAAACAGACAGAGAGAAACAGAGAAAGAAATAGATATATCTTTCATCTGCTGGTTCACACTTCAAATGGCTGCAATGGCCAGGCTGCGCCAGGCCAAAGCCAGCAGCTTGAAGCTTCATTTGAGTCTCCCACGTGGGTGGTAGGGGCCCCAACATTTGGGCCATCTTCTGATGCTTTTCCAGGCATATTAGCAGGGAGCTGGATTAGAAGTAGAGCAGCTGGGAATCAAACCAACATCCATATGAAATGCCAGTGTTGCAGGTGGTGGCTTTACCTGCTATGCCACAAAACCAGCCCCAGAAACTTCTTTTTCTGTTAGCTCCTATCCTAACAGTTAATCGCAGAAAGTTAAAAAAAAATAAAAAATAAAAAAATAAAAATAAAAACATTGAACAGATTTTCTCTTAAGAAAAGCCCAAGATGCTTCTTGCTCTTTAATATGTATGGTCAAATAGGAAATAAATTATTTACATAGATATCACAGTATCATAAATAGAATACATTGACTTCTGTTTTACACTGGTAAGTACAAATTTCTAAATATCCTCACCTTAAGGAAAAGATCCATCTCCACTTGGGTCTCCTCTGTACAAATGAGGTAACATCTGACAGTGTTACTCCATAGAGAGTGTGAAAACAAGGGAGTAACCTGCAACAAACTAGCTACAGCCATATCCCAGTCATCTGAAATAAAATTAAAGTTCAGGAAAAAGCTGTTAGAAGTACATCTAATGACTCCAAAAGTCTAAAAAAAACACAACAGGTTTATACGATAAACTCAATCTCACATGTCAATACCGACTTAGTTTCTAGAATAACATTAGAAGGCAACCAGTTCCCCAAATTCTTTTTTTTTAAGATTTATTTTACTTGAAAGTCACAGTTACAGAGAGAGAGAAAGAGATGCAGAGAGAGAGAGAGGAAGAGGTCTTCCATCTGCTGGTTCACTCCCCAAGTGGCCACAACGGCTGGAGCTGAGCTGACCTGAAGCCAGGAGCCAAGAGCTTCTTCCAGGTCTCCCACATGGGTGCAGGGGCCCAAAGACTTGGGCCATCTTCTACTGCTTTCCCAGGCCATAACAGAGAGCTAGATTGGAAGTGGAGCAGCCAGGACTAGAACCAGAGCCTATATGGGATGCCGGCACTGCAGGCGGCAGCTTTACCCACTACACCACAGCACCGCCCCAGTTCCCCAAATTCTACCCAGAACAGGAAATGACAACAGTCACTAGTGATCCTCCCTGGATACCAGTGGCTCCTGTCAACTACTGCACATGAACCGTTCAGTCTGCTACCTGAGGGGCACCTACACAACCAAGCTGACCTGTGGTGTCACCTTCTTACTATTCTTGAAATACACTGAGTTGAAAAGAAACCTCAACAGCGGCATAAAATGAAAAATAACTTTATGCTATTTAGTGAGAATAAATTTTTTAAAAATTAATCCAAAAGGCAGAGTGCAAGGGAGAGAGAGAAGGAGAGACAGAGAAAGAGATCTATCTGCAGGGCACTCCCTTAATGGCTGCAACGGCTGGGACTAGGCCAGTCCAAAGCCAGGAGCTCCATCTGGGTTTTTCACATGGGTGGCAAGGGGCCCAAGTACATGGGCCATCTTCCACTACTTTCCCAGGCACATCAGCAGGAAGCTGGATTGGAAGCAGAGCAGTCAGGACTTGAACCAACACTCTAATGTGTGGTGCCAGAGTCATAGGTGGCAACTGCACCATGACACCAGCCCCAAAAATGAAAATTTTAAGAAATTTTTGCTTCAATCAAAAAGCAAATTTTAAAAATTATTTTCATTTTGTTAGTAAGGAAATAATTTTATAGTTTGAAGGAAAAGGAGTAAAGCTATTTACAACTTCTTGTGTCTATAGTGATACTGAAATTCTGAGATCTTAGCGTTATTTTAGACACCAGGTTATATAAATATAATCAAAATATTCTATTACCTGGGGCTGGCACTGTGGTATAACAGGTTAAGCCACCACCTGTGAGACTGGCAGTCCATATTCGAGTTCCAGCAGTTCCACATCTGATCTAGCTCCCTAGGTCCCTGCTAATGGGCCTAGGAAAGCAGAAGATGGTCCAAGTGCTTAGATCCCTGCACCCATATGGGAGATCCAGAAGCTGCGCTGGTCTCTTGGCTTTGGCCTGGCTCAGCCCTGGCCATTGTGGTCATTTGGAGAGTGAACCAGTGTATGGCAAATCTCTCACTCCCAGTCTCTCAATAACTTTGCCTTTCAAATAAATAAGATAAATTAAAAAAAAAAAAAAAAGATACATTACCTAACTAGGCTTTCTGTATGAGGGCACTTCAAAAAAATCATGGAAAAAAACATAATTTTTAAAAGTTTATTTATTATTTGGGGCTGGCAGAGTAGTGTAGTGGGTGAAGCCGGCACTGGGCGCTGGTTTGAGTCCCAGCTGCTCCACTTCCGATCCAGCTCTCTGCTATGGCCTGGGAAAGCAGTGGAAGATGGCCCAAGTCCTTGGGCCCCTGCACCCTTGTGGGAGACCCGGAAGAAGCTCCTGGCTTCAGATCAGCACAGCTCTAGCCATTGCAGCAATCTGGGGAGTGAGCCAGAGGATAGAAGACCTCTCTTTCTTTCTATCTACCTCTCTATAACTCTGCTTTTCAAATAAATAAATATTTTTAAAAAGTTTATTTTGGTGCAAAAATATTTTGAAATCTATGCAGAATTTTTCATAACATGCATTTTCCATGCACTTTTTGAAGACCCTTTGTATGCATGGATTTCAGATTCTTTGCACCAATATAATCTTATCTTTTAATTCCATTTTCCATGAAGTTTTTAAAAAGATTTATGTATTTATTAGAAACGCAGAATGACAGAGAGGAAAGGAGGGAGAAGGAGGACGAAGGAGGGAGGGAGGAAGGGAAGGAGAGAAGGGGAGAGAGAAAGAAAGAAAGAGACAGAGACAGAGAGAGAGAGCGCTCTTCCATCCATTTATTTATTCCCCAAATAGCTGCAATAGCCAGTAAGCCATGCTGAACCTAGAGGCCAAGACCTCTATCCAGGTCTCCCACGTGGGTCACAGGGACCCAAGTACTTGGATCATCCTTTCAGGTACACTGACAGGGAGCTGCATTGGAGACTCTAAATATGGGATGCTGGCATCACAAGTGGTGCCTTACCCCACTGCGACACACACTGGCCAGTTTCCCAGGAACTTTTGGAAGTATTTGTATATTTTGCTCCATGACCTACTCTAACCTTCAATACTATGAAACAAGCAGAGGGAAAAACTAAAACCCAGTTTCTCAGTTAATCTATTTAAGATTCTTCCTGTTCAACTAAAACACCTGAGGATTCAGACCAGAAGCAGTTGCTAGCGCCTGGATGCCTTGAATTATATAATTTCACCATAGCATCAGTGCATGATGGTTTGTCAATGGAAGATGCCCAGAACACAAATACCGTTCTCTCTGATGGTGGTTCTCCTAGCCCAAGATAACACAACAGTCACTCCTGCTGGTGCATAACTGGTAAACAGTGTGCCTTACCTCTGTTGACATTTGCAAAGGGTCCTTCCACATCTATAGAACTATGGGCAAACTCAGGGCCTCGGAAAGACTGCTGAAGCTGGATCATACTTCCTAGGGAGGGCTCACTCCCCAAGGCTCCGCCAGTCCAGTACTCACACTGGGTCCCAGCAGCTATTAAAACAAGAGGTTTTTACTTTGTGAAAACTGAGTTATTGAATGTTCAAAAACTCATCACACATACTGAACAGGATTTCTAATTTTAAAAATACTACAACATCATAAAGACAGTAAAGACTCAAACGATGATTTTGAAAGCACTTTGCCACTGACTTTTGGCAAAGTTCTAAAGCACTATTTAGCATAATTCTGATTATCATTCCAAGTTCAAAAAAGGAAATAAATAGAGAAAGATGAAAAGAAATAAGAATAAAGGAATTATAACGACAGCAGAAGAAATTCTAAAAACCACTTCTAACTATACAGCTTAGTTATCAATTAAAATCTAAAGGAAAGAACTTCAGAGATACATTCTACTAACACACTAATAATTAATATTTGTGACTTGTTAGGATGCAAGCTCTCTGAGCAGAGAGTACATGGTTCTAAGGCTCCCAAGGCAGGAAAATTAACATCTAAATCAACAGCTGCAGATGACATGTGGATGATTCTATAAGAAATCATATTTGCCAAGTGTCTACAAGGCCTCCTGATCATACACTGCTATGCGGGCTAAATCTCTGGCAAACTTGAGCTTACTGTTTAAATCTGAAATGGGCAGCCTACCCTCAACTTTCCTCCTTCATGTTTGAAACAAATAATAAGAAAGATGCAGAAAAGAATACTGAACAGTTTTTGCTACCTCGACAAGTACAATAGTTTTAAAACACTACATATTTGGAAATGTCAATATTGAAATGATCACCAAGACTAATAATACAGGGGCATAAAGGCATATTTTCTCAGTCACTCTTGGCCAGTAAAAACTACTTCATTTCTTCCTCAGAAGTTATGATTAAAAGCCAAGTTGCTGGTCAGATTCTAATGAATTAAAATGAAATTAAAATCATTTTACTCCACAATGCTTCAGTCTGTAAGAATTACAGTCCCTTGTAAGTGGGAAAGTAACTATATTTTTCTACATTTAAAACAAAATCTTTATCTTTTCCCAGAATTAGTCATATTTTGCTAGTGTTTTCTTGGAACATGATGAATCCTTTCATTCTGACCTCAGACTTTTATTTCTGGAAAGACACCTTATATATGTTTCATTATAAATTATCAAGAATTTATTTATTTGCAAGGTAGACATTCTGTGTTGGGGAAGGAGAGGGCCTAAGAACACGGCCATCCACTGGTTCACTCCTCAAATGCTAGCAACGGCCCCTTGCTGGGGAGGAACAAGCCAGGAGCCTAGAACTTAACCCAGGCTTCTCACATGGGTAGAAGGACCCTAGTCACTTGAGTCACCACTGCTGTCTCCCAGGGTCTATACTAGCAAGAGTTAAAATCAGTAGTGGAGCCAGGTGTGGAACCTATGTACTCCAACATGGGACATGAGCATCCTATCTTAACTGCTAGGCCAGACACCTGCCCCCAAACAAAAAATTCCTTGAATATTTCACCAAACTACATTGGAAACAACTCTGTGCAGCTGTAGGGCAGGTGTCTAGGGCAGTGGTCAAGACACTGTGTAGGATGTGCACATTCCCTAACAGACTGCTTGGGTTTGAGGTCCAGTTCCCAGCTTCCTGCTGATGCACAGCCTGGGAGGCAGAAGGTGACAGCTCAGTAGTTATGTTCCTGCCACCAACATGGGAGACCCAGACTGAGTTCCCAGGTCCAGGCTATAGCCTGACCTGGCCCTGGATGTTGTGGGTATCTGAATAGTAAACCAGTAGTAGATGGGAAATTTCCCTCTGTCTGCCTTTCAAACATATAAAAATTAATAAAAAGTTAAACAATAATGGCAAAGAACACATCATTGAGTGGAAAAATAATGCTGCAGAGACTACTACCTGTAATATCCATTCTTCCCTTGGTACCAGAACTCCACATTTTAGCCAGACACGTATCTGCCCAGTAACTGATTCCATTTTCCCGTCTTCCTAGGTATAGTTCCGGCCAACAAGATTTGAGCAGAAGTGATCTGTATACCTTTCAGGATGTGCCTTCAAAGAAAGGAATTTGCTTCCCCCCTCTCTTCTTCCCTTTAGCTATCTGAGACCAGAGAGGGAAGAGCTGTGGAGTAGACATGGCAGGGCAACAAGACAGAATAAGCCCCAGCCCCTGACTTCCTGGGTGCCCCAACAGCTGACTGAAAAAGAGAGAACAATTCTATCTGTATCAATACACAAAGCAATAGCCTAGCCAATACAGATACGGCAGGATTCTAAGCTGGCTCTACAATTTTACTCCAGTTATGCTGAAAGCACACAAAACCGTAAACAGCAAATAGGTTTACCAGTAACATCTGTACAGTTGTCATCCGAATCAGACTCCCCAGGATCAAACACCTGGATCCCCTGAGCCTGCAACCTCTGAAGTTTGCTCTCCAGCTCTCGCTTGGCTCTTAGTAAGTCTTGAATTTCGTTTTCTTTGGTTTCCCTAAAAATCTTTAAAAAGATTTTACATTTTGAAAACATTTTTGTGATAAAAAGAAGTCATGCCTTCAACTTCTAAAGGAACTATCATTCATAAAACCAATGTGCATTTGGTCCACAATACACTCTTTCTTAGGAGGGAGAATCCCAATGCCTTTATCTTACTGCCTTGTAGCTGGAACCCACTGAAATAAATGCCAGCAGGGTGCACGTCTGCAGTGCGGGGCTGGCGAGCACAGTGACGTTCAGTCTCCCCTAAATACCTGACGTCCTCCCCAAACGTTTCCACATTCTTTCCAAAATCCCCACTCATATGTTCACCTTTATATTTTTTGTCTGAACTATCTCGAGGGTACCACGTCCAACTCAAAAATGTAAAAAGCACTTATTCCGGTTCTTATCACTTTCATAAGCCATACATGACTTGTTCCTAATTGTTCCCCACAACGTTATAGAAGCTTTTATAATATACTATTTTTTATTCCATGTCACTTTGGGGGTAAAGATGTAGGAGCGTACCTTGAATTGCCTTTTAACTTTATCTCTGTCATGTTCAAATGTAGCTGCTCTCTCCATTGCTTGGTATTTTGCTTCCAAAGCACTTTCTTTTTCCCGAAGTATCTTCTGGTAAGTTTTCTGAAGTGCCTGGAATAATTTACTTTTTTACTGTTTAACAAAAATAGCCTTTCTCCCAAATTCGACATTCTGACATGCTACATATCTTGAAATTTTAACAACCTATTATTGTACCAATTTTCAAGAATTATATGTTGCCATTTCATTCAAACACATGATGGGAAAATGCAAACACACTTGAACTATAGCAAATGAGGTCACATCAATGTTAAGCTTTCAATGGAAATCAATTTTTCATTGAAATTCTGCATCATCTCCATCAGCTCTTGAACTTCCCTCTACTTCCATTGTCCCATCTTTAGGAGACTCTTTTAAAAGTACAACTTGAAAGGCTTCACTTGAAGGATACTTAATTCTGAGAGACCCTGCACTCCTTGGCACCACATCTTATTTGTGTTGCTACCCCAAGTCCCATGCAGTGTCTGATACACTGCAGGCCGCCCAGAAAAGTCTGGCGGGAGAGTTTCTCCATGCATAGAAATGTGAGAAAGGAAGCAAGTAGGCTTCCCCAGGAATCAGGCGGGCAGCAGGAGTACTCCGGGAACGCCGCACTCTGCCCGCTGACCTCCACCTTCTTTCCTACCTGCCATCTAAGTTGTTTCCCGTGTGCCCTGCACACGGTCCGCAGTGTGGATACACGAAATGCGCAAGTCCATTTTCTACAGGCAAATACATTAACACTGCCCAGCAGGAAAACACTAAGACACCAAAACCAACAAGCACCCTTTAGGTATCGGCTGATGAGGGAGTTAAAAAATCAACCTGACCACAGGAACACCTAAATGAGGAGGCAGATTTCTTTCTTTTAAAAAACCAGGAATTCACTCAGATCCTACCGTGATGATCTCAGGGGCCTGGGCTGCCTAGAAGCCTCTTCCATAGACAGAAAAAGAACAAATGACACAACCGACGGCTCCAAGTCTCAGAATCTGGCTTACGCAAAAGCAACCTCGGCTTTATATACTATCTTAAGGAATTACAAATGGACCCGCATTGGGGTTTAGAGTAAATAAGGGAACTAAGGAATCTGACTAGGAAGGTTTCCCACTGCAGCACCTCAGAGGGTGAAAAGCAGGAGGCGTCCAGAAAAACTCACGCCAACATTGTTAACATCCCAGGAGCTTTGCACAGGGACGCGGGGCCCTGAGCCCCACCGGGAGGCGCCCCCAGGTGGAATGGGGCGAGGGCGAGGTCGCGGAGCTGCCTGAAGACGTGTCACCTGTCTTGGGGTGAGGGACCGCAGCTGAGTCCACCCAGGCCACGTCTTGGAGCGTAAGAAGCAACCGGAAACAAACGGAAGGAAGGGCGGCCGAGGAGCCCGTGTAGACAGGAGACAGCAGCCCCACAGCCAGCCAGGGGGGCAGTTCCGTCCCCGGGCGCCCCACCGCCCAGTCTGCGGACAGCCGGCAGCCCCGAGCCCGCCGCCGCCCGGGGCGTTACCTGCAGCTCGGCCCGCAGCCGCTTGTTCTCCGTGTCCAGCTTGGCCTCGCGGCGGCCCATGGACAACAGCTCCTGGGTCTTGCTGACCCGGAAGATCTCGTACTCCTTCCTGAGCCGCTCGCACTCGGCCGCCGCGTACTCCAGTTCGGGCAGCGACGAGCCGGTGGACCTGAAGCTGGCCCCCAACAGCCCGCCGCCGCCCGCGCCGCGCGCCTGCGCCCCGGGCCCGGCCCCAGCGCCCCGGCGGAGCGAGCCGCGCAGCAGGCGGGCCTTGGGCTTCACCTCCACCGGGATCTCGCACGCCTCACCGCCGCCCGCGCCGTACGTGTCCTCAATCACCTCCCCGCCCGCGGGCCGCACAAGAGACGACGCGGTCCCCATGGCATGCCGCCGCGACGCGCGCCGGGGACAGGAGGGGCGGGCCGAAATGGAGGGCGAGGCGAAAGGGGCGGGACTAGTGGAGCTGAGCGGGGCAGCCACTGGAGCGAGGGAAGAAGGCGGGGCCAGAGGGGCGGGGCGAGCCCGTGGGCGGGTCAGGGGGGTGGGACAGCGAGGGGGCGGGAAGTTCCTCCGCCTGCGCCTGAGGTGAGGGAAGCGTTCGCCCCGTCACGGCCCCTGAAGGACATCCCGCCTGTCAAATCCTTTCTGCTAATTTCTCATTGTTTGTACCCTCGATGTGATCGGAGGTTTGAGGGTCACCCATCGGTTTCCAACCAGATCCTTTGGAAAACTTTGCGTCGTTGTGTCTCCTTCGCAGTGTCCCTCAGCTAAAGACCCGAGGCAATTCCTGCGTAAATGAAATTAGCAAGGCCTGAGTCCTCCAACAGACACCCTGAGGGCCTCTGGCACTAAGGCCTCCCGGGTTCCACGGTCTAGGAAGGAGGAGTGCCCCGACGCGGTATCTTCCCCGTCCCGGAACACCCGCCAGCCCACCTTCCTCCGCCCTGGCAGCCTGCTTTTCTGCTCACACCAGAAGGGCTTCTCCTTCCTCTCAGCACTGTCCAGCAACCGTCAAAGCTCAAACTTTTTTCTTTTCTTTTTTTTTTTTTTTTTTTTTTTTTTTTTGACAAGTGGAGTTATAGACAGTGAGAGAGAGAGACAGAGAGAAAGGACTTTCTTCCATTGGTTCACTCCCAAAATGGCCGCAACAGCCAGCACTGCGCAGATCCAAAGCCAGGAGCCAGGTGTTTCCTCCTGGTCTCCCATGCGGGTGCATGGGCCCAAGCACTTGGGCCATCCTCCACTGCCTTCCCAAGCCACAACAGATTGCTGGACTGGAAGAGGGGCAAACGGGACTAGAACTCCGCACCCATATGGGATGCTGACACTGCAGGCGGAGGATTAACAAGTGAGCCATGGCGCCGGCCCCAAAGCTCAAACTTTGAACCTCGCTTCTCTCAAAGGCGTGCTGCGATGTCTAAGAAGCCAACTCTGGATGACCTCACAGCAACAGTTCCGACTCATCAGCCACTGCCCACGAGGCACAAAGCCCTGTGTTCTGTGTTTTCCTGACCTCTCCTCCCCTACTTGGGCCCGCATTCTGTCAATCTAGGGTTATAGCAGTAGCTCTCATTATGGCTGTTGGACCATTTTTTGCCTAGATTTATCACCAGCAAACCTTATTTAGCATCTCTGAAAATGGCTGGTGGTCCAAAGAGCTATCAAATATGGCCTCAGCTCCCCAAAAGCCCAAGGACTAATTGTCACTGCCTTCCTCAGTGATCTGATTTACACAGACATGTGCAGGTGTTCCAAAACAATCTGTTTGGCTGAAATCCTGGAGACAGCCCTCTGTGAAGGGATCTCAGCTATTTCTCATCATAGGCTCTTGGTATACACAGAGCATGCATACTGGCCTTAGATCACTGTTGGTCAATGTTAAAATGAGTCCAGCAGTGAGCAAATAGGATGCTATTGGATACTCAGTATGATAATGTGGTTGTTTTCCAACATATTTCTTAATGATGAAACATTACACAAGTTTGTCTAATTTTCAACTTCATAATCTGTTTTTCTTTACGCTGAGTTTAGCACACACAGCTCGTGCTGCATTTTGAAACGATAACCCTGAACACAGAGTGAGGAATAAAATCACTTGCAGGAGGCTAGTGGTTGATTAAAGATAGCCACCAATTTTCTGTGTGTGTGTGTGTGTGTGTGTGTGTGTGTGTGTGTTATTTTTCCCAAAGAAACATTTAATGAGTACTAATTTCATAAGTACAATTTTATGAATATAGTGATTCTTCCCACCATATCTGCCCTCCCACCCCAGCTCCTCCCTCTCTCATTCCCTGTCCCATTCTCCATTAAGATTCATTTTCAATTAACTTTATACATAGAAGACCAACTCTAAGTAAAGATTTCAACAATTTGCACACACACACACACACACAAACTGAGAACAAGTCTTAGTTAATTATCTTAATAAAACTCACTAATAGAAGTCCTGCATGGGAAGTTAGTGCACATTAACTTTTGTTGTTGATTTAACAATTAACACTCTTACACATATCAGGGATCACCTGAGGCTCTTGACATGTGCTGCCTAGGCTACTGAAGCCCTTTGAATCCACAATCTGTCAGTATTTAGACAAGGCCATAAACAAAGTGGAAGTTCTCTCCCCCCTTCAGAGAAAAGTGCATCCTTCTTTGATGGGCCCTTCTTTCCCCTGGAGTCTCACTCACAGAGATCCTTCATGTAGGACTTTTTTTGCCACAGAGTCTTAGTTTTCTATGCCTGAAATGCTCTCATGGGCTTTTCAACCAGATCAGAATGCCTTAAGGGCTGATTGTGAGGTCAGGGTGCAATTTAAAGTGATTGTCATTGTATGAGTCTGCTGTGTAGACCGCTTTCTGTGTTGGAACATTCTTTTTTAATTCTATCTATTATTACAAGTTGATCTCATTTATATGATCCCTTTGTTACCAGAGAAATGCAGGGTTCTTGTCTTTGCACAAGAAAGAATTCAGGCGTAAGACAGAGTGGTGGAAAGTAAAAAGTAGCAAAGTTTATTAGGGTAGAGACATCCGCAAGAACGGATAGGCACCTCTCCAGACAGGACCTGAGAGAGAATGCCGTCGCTCGGACAGGGGAAGAAGCAAGGTTACATGGTTGAGTGGAGAGATTACACCTGGCCAGGCAGGCGGACCACTCAGCATAGAGGCAGAGGGTTGAACATGCAGCCTGGTTGAGGGGGAGGGAGTGGGGGGGGATGAGGGTGGGAGGGGTTAAGGAGATGGGTCTTTGTCTTCACACATCTCCCCCTGAAACAAAGGATTTTATGGCTGTAAATATTAAGAAGCTCCTATCTGAGTTTTTCCTTGAAGGTAGCAGACAGGAGGAAGCCTAGCTGGGGCCATCCTGGGTTCAAAGGAAGGGTGATCAGGACCCCCTAGAGAATGGGGATCCGGAGCAGGGTGTTTGAAATGCAGATACTGGGCTGCATCTGGGAGACTGTGGAAGATTTGTCAGGTAGAAGGGGCGGGGACTCCAACCTGGCAGGTAGAAGGGGGCAGGGCAGAATGCGAACACTGGGGTGCCCCTGAAATGGATGACTTTGAGATGTAGATGCATATGCTGGATATAGATGGCTTCTCTTTAGGCCTTTATGTCACACACACATAAGCTCATATCTAACTTCCTACCTAACACCTTTAACACTTAATCCTATCTGTATGATCACTTTAACACTTAATATGGTCACTTTAACTCTTAAGATGATATTTTTAGCACCCAGTTTAATGGGATTTGGGGTCCCATGACAAGGTTTTAAACTGTACACTTAGAAGTCCATAGGAATGTATGCAGAACTATACAGCTTTACAGTTACAAGCTTCCTCCTCCCTCTCTTATTCCCACTCTTATTTTTTACCAAGATCTACTCAATTGACTTTATACACATCTGATTAACTCTGTTAAGAGTTCATCAAATAGTATGAAGAGAAAGAAAAAAACACTCTTCCTTGACAGTCAAGACAAGGGCTGTTCAAGTCAATGCTTCTCTTAAGTGTCAATTTCATTTCTACAGATTTTCTTTTAGGTGTCTATTAGTTATCACAGATCAGGGAGAACATACCGTATTTGTCCCTTTGAGACTGGCTTATTTCACTAAGTATGATGTTTTCCAGATTCATCCTTTTTTTTGCAAATGACTGGATTTCATTTTTTTTTTTACTGCTGTTTAGTATTCCATCGAGTACATATCCCATAGTTTCTTTATCCAGTCTTCAGTTGTCAGGCATTAAGGTTGAGTCCATGTCTTAACTATTGTAAATTGAACTACAATAAACATGGAGGTACAGATAACTCTTTTATTTTCTGATTTAATTTCCTTTGGGTAAATTCCCAGGAGTGGGATGGCTGGGTCATATGGCAGGTCTGTATTCAGATTTCTGAGGTCTCTCTAAACTGTTTTCCATAGTGGCTTTACCAGTTTACATTCCCACCAACAATGGATTAGGGTGCCTTTTTCCCCATATCCTCACCAGCATTTGTTGTTTGTTGATTTCTGTATGAAAGCCACTCTAACAGGGGTGAGGTGAAACCTCATTGTGGTTTTGATTTGCATTTCCCTGAGGGTAGTGACCTTGAGCATTTTTTCATGTATCTGCTGGCCATTTGGATTTCATCTTTTGAAAAATGCCTGTTTAAATCCTTTGCCCATTTCCTAACTGGGTTGTTTGTTTTGTTGTTGTGGAATTTATTGATCTCTTTGTAGATTCTGGTTATTAATCCTTTATCAGTTGTGTAGTTTGCAAATAGTTTCTCCCATTCTCTCAGTTACTTCTTCACTTTCCTGGATGTTTCTTTTACTGTATAGAAGCTTCTCGATTTGATGTAATCCCATTTGTTAATTTTGGTTTTGATTGCTTATGCCTCTGGGGTCTTTTCCAAGAACTATTTGCCTGTGCAAATGTCTTGCAGGGTTTCCCCAATGTTCTCTACTAATTTGATGGTATCAGGTCATAGATTTAGGTCTTTAACCCATTTTGAGTGGATTTTTGTGTAGGCTTAAGGTAGGGGTCGTGCTTCATACTTCTGCATGTGGAAAAACAGTTTTCCCAGCACCATTTGTTGAAGAGACTGTCTTTGCTCCAGGAATTGACCACCAATTTTTTTTAAACACTTCTCTTACTAGAAAGTGAAGTATATGACTAGCAAAGGCTACATAATTTTTAGGACCTAGTTTAAAGTGAAAATATAGTGTTCCTTTGTTTAAAACTTAGAATTTCAAGATGTCAGTGGAAAACATCAAACCAAGCATGGGGCTCTTTTGAATGGGGGTGAGGGCTGAGCAGTTGTTTGTGGGGCTATTCATGGGGTTGTGTGTCCAAGGCCGCCAGCCTGCTTCTGACTCCTTGTCTTGAATCTCAGTGAGCTCTGAGACTGCCCTGCCCAATAAACTAAGGCAGCAGTGATGCCATGCAGGATTCTG